ACAAAAAATTCAAAAATTATACAACTGATTTTTTTCCTTTTAGAAATAGCTTGGGAGCGATCAACTCATTCCCAGGGGTTATTGTCATTTAGGTTTTTGTATTTTTATCTCAAATTGTATTATTTGATGGATTTTTGCAATATTAAGACCAATATTAGTTTCAATCACTGTAATAAAAACAATGTATTATGAATATCGTTGGTTCATATATTAATTTAATTTTTATCGTCAAATGACATGCAGGTGTAAAAGTTTAATAATTGAGATAATTATGTTTAGTAATTATATTTACCTTTAACTCTTATTGGGGTTTTATGTAAGTTTATGTTTTTGGTAAAAAAAAGTTTATTATTCTCATTAAAGTTTAAATAGTCTTGGAATCGTGTCATACTTGCCAAATAAGGTATACTATTATGTGTACCTGAATACTGTTAATTTGACACATGATTGTCCAAATGCCACACTGCCTTATTATTTGCTGATTTTAATTTTTATTAAATGCTATATAAAATTTAAGTGAGGTACATAAGAAAGATTTTTATGTATGTTTACTTTTAAAAATAAGACCTGAATTTCACTGTTTCAAAGACTGATTTACAATATAAAATGCCTATATACACTTGGTAATTTTATATCACTTCCCAGTATGTTAAAATATACCTCCCATTAATATTATTAAGATTTTTGTCGTTATTTATAATGTATAATAAAATCACAAAATTATTTTCTAATTATTTACAATTTTTAATGTAAAGTGTCACACAATATGTTGTGGTAACCTACCCTATCCCACCTTTTAGTAAGTGAAAGTGCAACAGTAGGTGCGGTATATAAATATAATTAGCTCTTATAAAATTTTATGGTATCAGTATCTAATATCAAGCTATCTGTATGTTGAGTACCGGTGAAGTAAATTGAAATAATTTAATAAAATCCCTATTAATAAAACAGATTGTGTTCATTCACAATATAAATCATGCTGCTAAGTGCATACACAATTTCCTATTTCCGTTTTTACTCTCACCATTTGCCTCAAATTAAAGTCAGTGATAAAGATAATTAATAAAATCTAATAGTCAATAAGTCATTCTTAGTTGTTCATGTTACAAGAAAAAAAAATAATAAAATATTTCATTTAAAATTAAAAAGAAAGAAAATTTTCCTTGTAGCTGGTACCGAGACTGAGGAGTTTAGTTGTTTTCCAGTACAAAAAAACAATGTCGAAAGTATGGTTTAACGTCTAAAAACGTAAGACCTATATTTAATTATTATGTTATAATTCAGTTTATATCTACTTACTCATTTCTAAAGTGCATTCAGGAGATATGGAAGTTTTATAATTCCCACCGTAACTTAGCCCTTAAATAATTATATAATAATAGCATAAAACAATTTAGGAAAATACCTTATGTGTATAGGTATTTATTATTTCTTTATTGTTTTAACATTGCCCTTACTTTAGGATAATATTATCCTGTGTTGTAAAGACGTTTTACAAACATAAATTTCACGTAGAGAAACACCCAGATGCGAAACAACTATCTATGGGTCACACAATAGTTGTCCCGTGTGAGAATAGAACCCACGACCCCGACGCCGAAGCCAATATCTTGGCAACTGCGCCACAGAGTTATCAGATTATGTACGCACATAAGAAGTTATATTTCTTAAGCGTGACAAAAGAAAAATGTTTTATCCCGTGTGCCAGTACGATGTTCAGACCAAACAGGCTGAAATGTTGATTATGTTTAATTAAATAACTTGGGATTTTAAGTAAATGTCCCTATTAACTTATCGACGATAGGAAATGCTATCCCTAGATACTCTCTAATGGGAAGACGACGGAGAACGGATAGCTTAATAGGGATAGATATTTGAGGCAAATTGTCATTTGTCGCGTCACAATAATTGTGCGCGGGGATGTTTTCGAAACGACATGGAAGGGTTACAAGCTTCAATTATTATTATGCAAATTAGGTATCAGAAATTATTATTCAACTATAAGTGGATATCCTATAAAAACTGCCGTCTGCCGAGAGGTGATATAGAGGAGCGCTGTGATTGTGACACTCCGACGTTTCCGTGATCGTGTACGGCTCCCCCGTGGTGGTTATGTGGGCTTTGCAGTTCTTCGACCGGTGTGAGGAGCAGACCCATCTGTGGCCAGTTTTCGTAGTGAAACTCGACGTGTAGGTGTACTGGCGGTACATTAACAGAGGGCGTCCCCTCCTAGAGGTCAGAATGCGCACTGTGGAAGAGAAGAGATTTTCATTCGTGTACGTCGAAATATAGTTAGATAAAATACGAAGTAGGCTCAAAGGTATCACAAGAGGGTACCTTTTAACCTTGTATGTAAACTGTCTATTCGTAAATAGACATAGCTTATAAACAGTACTGATACCATAAATGTCATTTCCGTTCGACTTTTGCGACATGAAGAGAAACAAACACCCGAGATGCGCCGAAGTCTCGACCGAATATTTGTATTCGGCAAATTTGTTGTATTTTTTTCTTCGTTTGTGTCCAGTCGAATATTCCGTATTTTTGCCGAATAAATAAAAATAATTATTTTATGATTTACGTATTTAAAAGAGCTCTACTCTTAGAACCTTATTTAGTATTTGTTGAAATAAACAAATACACTACTTTGAGTATCTAGCCATCACTTATGCGAAAAATCCATATAATTCAGGCTTTCAAATAAACAGGTATTTTTCAATAAAAGACAATGTCGGCCAAATTTATCATTTAATAAAATGAACAATTCAAAAGTATGTAATGATCATTTACTCGTATCGTAAAATTTAAACAAACATGATACAAGATAGCTATACTTCAAATCAACATTGGCTACATAAAATTTACCAATATTTAAAATCAACAAGTTGAACTTAGATCTTAAGTCACAATGTAACATAGTCTAGCCATAATTTTGATAATTTAATCACATTTACATACAGTGTATGAAAGGTATTTAGAGCAATTCCCATACTATCTATCGACAGTTGTTACTCAGTAGTTATAAATGGAGAGTAGTTTCCTTATTACCTCATGATACCACTCATTCAATTGGTTTAAAAGTATACCTACTCATATCGACACTAATTAATTTTTTTAAATCTCTAAATTACATGTTTTTATGTGAGCGGTAAGCGAATTGGCGATTCATCTGACGTTAAGTGATAACCGCCGCCCATTTACATTTGCAAAACCCGTAAGGTGGCAGATGCGTTGCAACTTTTTAATAAAGTGGGCCACGGCTACTTCACTCACCGGGCCAAACGTAGAAATATAACACTTCCACCTCACACCGCTCTTCTGTGAGGTCGTATTACTTCCTCGCACTGACCCGCCCACTCACAACGAACTGTTGCGTGGCCATTACTTAAACAAGATGCAGGTTAAAATATATAGTGCGCAAGTACATAATCAAACAAAATAGTATTTTTTTTTATTTTTCAGTCACGTTTTACGGTGGTAGGGCCACGCAGCAGCCTCAGCTGTTGCACGAATGGGCAGGCCCATCCGGGTAAGTACCACGAGCTCACAGAAGACCAGCGTAAAGTGGAAGTATGACAACTACTTTCGCGTTTCGTCTGGTGAGGTAGTCGGAGCCCAATTTTATAAAGGTTGTCAACGCATCTGTAACCCTCGGGTGTAGCAGATGTCCATGGGTGGCGGTATTCACTTAATTCAGGTGAACCGTCTGCTCGTTTGGCAATTTTTCACATAAAAAAAAACGTAAATTTTATTGACTACTTAAATTATTACTGTTCTAGTCATGTTTTATACGCAAACGTACTTTCCCCCTGTCGTTACCATATAATTTCGAGGCTTGTGAATATGTACATCGAATACGTTTAAAATTTGAAAATTTTCATCTAGAAGCATGTAAGCTTTGCAACCGTGCTTCTGGTGGGTAGAGCAAATCCACCTCCAACAGGCCTGGTTCGTGTAGTTATAACGTCTGCAATAAGTGAAGCTCTTGTAGAGAATCAACTCGTTTCCCCTCTGCGATTTTAACTGAACCACTGAAACAAAACTTTGAAACTGTTAAATATGGGAACATCTTTATATTCGAAAAAAAAAAGTACTAAAAGCAAATCACAACAGTATTCCATTTTAATTATTTTTCGTGTAATACGAAAATTGGGAAAAAATGAGAAGGTAATGAAACAAATATGAAACATAAACGTAATTTTAATATGTAAATCAATAAATAACTTATGGGTTTTGTAAATAGATTCACTTAAGCTATTAATTAGGTTGGAACAAATATCTCATTAAGTCAAAAATATCTACTTAAATCGTTAGCTTAAAGTAATTTAAAAGTAAATCTCGTTGTTAATGGTTACTTTTAACTTAGAAGAGTTATCTAGTTTGATGAAAGTGATAACTCTAAGAATAGCGCTACCCCAAGGGTCGTTGTAAACTGTTGACATGAAATCGTCAACGATTTAAATACAACGCTTTCAATTTTGCCCATAATTAATTTTGAAAAAGGTAAATTTTCTTCTCGCTTATTACAATTAATTTACCTATTTCCACTTTATAACTTTGGGGATCACTGTTAATAAGGAAAGCCTCATTAAGCTATATAAGTACTCGATAATAATATGAAATACAACTAATTAATGTAATAAATTTACCACCACCTCTAAATAGTATAAATAAAATAAACATTTCTCTACACAGTGTCTGCCTTGTGGTAAATTTTCGAGTCTAAAATCTGTAAAATTTGCATTTTGCATTTTCCGTTATTGATCGAATGCACGTTATGCTACTTGCTTTGCATAAAAATTCATTTTGTTTTCAAGTTTGATAACATAACTGTGATGATGTTGGAATCCTAAAGAATTGAATCAATCGATATTATAATTTAGAAATGACTGTACTAAAGTTCCATAGTACCGGAACGGTAGTAAGGAACTTACAGTTGCTTTTAGTTTTTAGTTCATCTGCATTTATTTGTTATCTGTGCACGGGAAATCACGCCATCATTTGTTCCACAGGAAATTGGCGTTGAGCACGCTCGGCTCGTGCATGTGCTGACCGGCGGACGCGATGATCACGTTCCTCTCGGTGGTTATTAGGTAGGCCCTGCAGGTCTTCACTTTGGAGCAGTACCAGCGCCAGCCGTGTTTCAGCGGGTACGGGTATTTGGAGTACGTGTAGTTCTTGTACATCAACAGTGTGCGACCGCGTTTCGACATCACTTCTATGGCCGCTGAAAATAATAACGTTATCGACTGAGTGAGAATTGAATTACCACAGCTCGTATGGGGCGCCGCGCAAACCTTGATGCGCATCTGAATTTCCTTGAGCAGTATATGTAGTTTCGTATCAATATCGCCCTTTCTTTCGCACCACAGTCAAAATCGCTTTCTGTCTCGCTCTAAGTGGCGAAAAACGGTACCACTAGATTTTACAAAAATTATTTGTTTTTAAGTTTTCGCGTTTATGTAGCTCATGGAGCCAATTTCACTCCTAATCAGTTTACGACTTACATTTGCATGTTAATTATATAGTAGTTAGACTTGACAGTATACATATTTTATCATATCAGTCGGAGAGCGTAAAAACAATTTGAAGCATAATTTGTACTTCTCTTACACGTACAGTTGAAATAGAAAATTCGAAAAACAAGGATAAAAATGTAGTTTTATAATGTTTTATTAAATAATTAAACCACTTAAATTCGAAGTGTTTAAACAGAAAGTGAAATATTATTGTCAAATTAGGGATATATCTTAAAACACATCAATTTAATTAGTCGTTAATATGCAACTTAACAAAGGCTGATCTCCTATAATGTGAAATGTAACAAAAAATTGACATAATGAATAAGACTTATCACTACATAGTATAAAACAAAGTCGTCTTCCCTCTGTCTGTCTGTCCCTATGTATGCTTAGATCTTTAAAACTACGCAACTGATCTTGATGCTTTTTTTTACTAGATAGTGTGATTCAAGAGGAAAGTTTATATGTATAATACATTGCACCCGTGCGTAGCCGGGGCGGGTCACTATACAAAAATTTATTGTTAATTGGCTTATAAATTTAGTGGTTATTATGCAACTTAACAAAGGCTGATGAACATGATATCTCATAATGAAAAATATTACAAAAAAATTAATGTAATAAAAAAGGCTTACACTTCTACAGGGTGTCGTTACAACCGCGACAATAAATTAATACACGTCTAACGCTACTTGCCAATAATCATAAAAAATGTAAACGTTAAAAGAAATCCATAATTAGAAAAATATATTTTTCAAGCAAACTAATTAAATAAAAAAGAAACAAAATTTATAACATCCTATATAACTACAACTGATTGATTCATACATTCAGAGACTTTTCATTCGTTGCCACAACGTCCATTACAAATCACTCCTTCTAACCGTATGTTTTATCTTTAAATTCATTCAACCCATTCATATACTTTGTGACCTTTACAAATGTACTTTACGTTACAGTTTTATACGTAAGGGTGCTCTAAATATGTTTGTTTTGTAAAATTTAATAACTCGATAAATATTGATGTTTAAGGAATGTACCTAAATGCTTTATACAATTTTAAAGTTATCCTCTATATGTCTGTTCATTTATTGTCGCGGTTGTAACGATACGCTGTATATTACAAAACACGTAGAGAATTAAAACTTCAATGTAAAAATACTACTTTCCCTCCTAGCCATACAACAATAATTAATTTTAACAGTACCTACCTATATTTTTTATTTCATTATGGAAGTTTCAGCAGAAAAGCTTTTTGAAGTAATACTTCTTTAGGCGCGTTTAGAAAAAGTTATGAGTGTAAAACTTTTAGAATGCGCGCGCACTCCGACCCCCTAAAAGCGACATGAGCAACCAACTTCGCGGTGTTACCATGGCAACCAAAATACACTTTTTGAAATTCACCTTTAATTCCAAGTTGTAACACCGTTATCAACACACGTCTTATTCACAAACGGAGAACACTGGCACAGGGGATAAAAATTTTAGTAATTTTTCTTTTGTTACGCTAAAGAAGTATAACTTCTTACGTGCGTACATAAGTTCCCACACACTTTTTTAGTGTAATGGACAATAAAACCTTATATTTAAGTTTTTTAATTTTATTTTATATTCTTATAATTTTTTATATTTTTTTGTCTTTTTTCCTTTGAGCCGATGTGTAACCAAATTAAAATTTTATAACCTATTTCCTATGGTTTAACTTTATTAAAAGACATTAGTAATGATTACATGATAAAATAAATTTATGGTACTAAATGAACGACATGAATTATATATGGGTAAAAGTTTTTTGTTTCGAGCATGTTTTTAACACTATAAATTGATGACTCGATACGGTCAAGGAGCTAAATAAATAATGTCAATCATAAAACGTCACCGAAATTTACCAGTTTTTTTTTATCGTTGGTCTTAAGCATGATAAGAACAAAGCACTTGGGTGAAACAGCGACTTTTTTCGTAACATTTTGAATATTATAATTCTGTCCTTATAATAAAAATTCTGTTGTTGACAGTTGACATCAGGATATAACGATACGACACAAAAAATAGTTGTTGAAAAGTTGCTGTTTAGGCACTAGATTGAGTTTTCCCTATAAGCCGATGACTTTCCTATTGACCTATTCAGTCTCGAGCACTATTGGTGCCCTCAAAGCGTCTAACACGTGATGGGGATTGAGGTAGTATTTGGGTGGATCGTGGCAGTGCTCCTCGAAGGCCGATGTTATGAAGTTGTTGTGGTCGGTGAAGACGCATCCGCGACAGTTCTTCATTGTGGAGCACACCCAACGGCAGCACTTGCTCTTTTGGTACTGCTTCCGGTACGTGTACTTCCTGAACAGCAGCATCTCTTTCCCCTTCCGCGAGGTTATGACGACGGCCGTATCTGCAAGTTTTGGGAAAACTTCAAATGCTTTCTAATCCTCGATATAACTCCTGGTTACACTCTAGAATCCAGATAATTACGGAATCAGAACACATCGTAGTCCATCAAACAGCCAGATTCGTCGTTGTTGAATCTCTAAAATAATCTGGTTCCCAAGTAATATTTCAGTTAAAATCTTTAAAACTGTTCCTATACTGTTTAAAAATATCGATCAATCCATTTTGTGTTTTCTTAAACCAAGGAACTTTTTTTTACTCATTTAAAACGAAATCTATATTCTGAATGCAGTTGTGAAGTCATTAGCTTATGACTAGACTCATAACGTACTTTAAAGCGAACAAAGTTAATATTTTATTTATTTTTTATTTATCATATATTAATCAATGTCTTTGCTCTCAACTCACCACTCTCTTCCGGTTCGATGGTCTCGAGCTTCTGATTGTCGTCATGATCGTGGTACGGGTTCGTGTCCACAATTTCGTTGGAATCGTCGAGACACAAATACGCGCCGCATTGTTTGTTCACGGCGCATTTCCAGCGCATGCCGCTCATGGACATGCCGCCTCTCTTATACTGGTGGCCGCCGTAGTGCAGTATCGTCGTGCCCCTCTTCGTCTCCACAAACAGCAAGGGCTCACTCTCATCCACGTGCTCCTCCAGAACCTCGAGGTCGGTGAAACCAATCGAGTCGCTGCATTGGCCGCCGTCATCTGGAACAAAGTCTTTGTAAGTTTCACAATTGACAAGGATTAACTTTACATTTACATTAAGAACGTTTACATTAAGAATAAAATGAAAAATAGAAAACAAAATTACTTAACGACTGTTTCATTGTTTGTAAATTTCAAAATATTTGTAATGAAACACCATTTTATAATATGTAATGTATTTAAGCAAAAAAATTAATTAATTACAACATATAAAGATTTGACTTGAACATGGCATTTGACGGGACGAAATTGAGCACATATGGCGAAGGTGTTGTTTGGTTCAAAACGAGAACGATTTTAGGTACGGCAATGGTTTTAATATTAAAGATGATGATCTGATTTTTCATATCTTCATAGTTTTAAGATACTATCGAGAGTATTTGAAGCGATCTGCCCAAAGTGAATTAAATTTTGATGTACGTGCCGTTACGGCAAACGTATCGGGGCGGGCTGTGGTTATGTTCCCTGTTGAAGAGGACGATGTTCTTCTGATGATCGAATCGCAATCTCGCCTTGCACTTGGTGCTAATTCGCCGGGAGCACGTCCAATAGCGGTTATCTGTTGTCACCCGGTTGAACGTATAGTTCTCTATTAGGATCAACGAATTCTTTCCTTTGGACGACGGTATAAATTTGTATTCCAACCCTGAAAGGATTACTTACAAAATTAGGAAACTTATTATTTAAGTACCTTCTGTTTTTAGTTTATATATACAGTGTAAACTCCATGTAAAGTCACTTGATTTAACGACATACTCTCTAAAGCGTCGAAATCACTTGGCTTTGGTTGGTTTAGCTTGTCTTTCATACAATGATACACTTTATATTGCATTACACCCACTCTCTATAACGACAACGATTAAATAATAAAAAGTACTTTTGAAGTTGCAAAATTTTTTTAAAAACTGTGCAGCTGTGTACCTTTTTTACGACTTGACTGTCGGCCTCATGCATACCGAACTTTGTAAGAAATTCGTTCAGTCGGATGAGCCTGAGCCTCCGCCGAGCATTAAAGAAATTCTGGAAGCAGCTAAATTATTGGAAAAGTTCTTCCTTTACGACCAAGACGCCTCAATAACGCAAGATTTGAATAAAATAAGCAAAAAAATCCAAGTAAATTACTGGTGCAGCAAAAGACGTCAGACAAAAATAATGGACTATACGCAACAGTGTTTAAATAAGATGTTTTTAATGTACATAACTACTAACACTAGTCTGAAGTAAACTTTTTATTTTTCTGACTTTTCTTCTCTCCATTTAACGACAACTCTCTATAACGCCATAAAATGCACAATCCACTTCAGTCGTTACATGGAGTTTACACTGTACATTGAACTCACTTTTATTCTATACTACTCGATTACGTGCAAATTCTTATTCTTAATCATAGTATATAATTCAATTCATCGCATTTTTAATCACAATTAAAGGCCAGAAAACAACCATCTGTTTTATTTACATATCACTTTTTATGCATTACATTAACGTGTACTTTGTAATGAAATTAACACTACATACGATAAGTTATGTTATTTATAAGTTATATATTAAGAATATGTTAATGCAAGAAATTGTTCTTGACTGTTAATTTACATAAAAGATAATAGTCAAATTGGCTAAAGATGTTCTCATGATCTAAATTATTGACCTGCTCATTCTTGAACCATCGAAGACTACTGCATGTCCCTAATACAGGTTCAACAAATAGGAGCACATATTCATTATCCTGTCCGTATCTGGGCAATGGTCACCCCACTTTTTAAGAGATCCCCACCATCCGTGACCGTTAGCATAATGTTATTGCGTAGACTCGTTTCGCCATGTGACATAGATGCAAGGTTATACATTTCCTGGTCACGAGTATAACAGGGATATCCTTTGTAGTTTAAATGGATAGCTCATGACACCAGTCCTCAATAGTACACTGATAAGCGTTCCCGTCTCTAGCACGCGACTTATGTATAATAGCAGAAAATGTTAAAGTATCGATCTAGATAGAAAATATATATACGAGTATGACTATTATGTTAGTTCGGCTTGAGGTTATATCTTTAAGTAGTAACCGCCGCTGATTTTGGCGTATTTCGCCGGCGGATGACTGTGCTCGTTGAAGGTCTTGAGCACCCTCAGTTCCGTGTCCACGTGTATGTACATCTTGCAGTGGAAGGAACCGCGACCGGTGCACCTCCAAGCCTGGGTTTTGGTAAACGTCCTGGCCACGTTGGTCGGAGTGCTGAACGTATAGTTATCATACATCAGCAGCGTTCTGCCCGTCGTTAGTTTTATTAGGTAACCTGGAATCGTAAAGTATTGTAATGAAATGTAGGTAATTGTCTATTTACACAAGAACAATTCTCATTGTACTCATATTAATAATGAGATAAGTTTTTTTTTTTTTGCCTTTGTTTCCTCGTCGCGTTGGGCGGTGTGGAATGATATTGGAATTGAATTAGCTTACGCTCCGGATTGTCATTTCAACTGTTTTAAACTTGTGTTTTTTTTATGGAGAAATGGGGCAAACGAGCAGGAGTCTAACCTGATGGTAAGAGATTACCACCGCCCATGAACACTTGCAACGCCCGAGGGCTTGTGTGTTTTTATTACAAACGTGTATTCAAACGTTTATAATAAAAACACATTAAAGCCGTATACATATGTATATATATATATATATATATATATATATATATATATATATATATATATATATATATATGTATTTGTGTATGTTACAACTAGTCGATCTCATAGGGACTAAGACACCATTTCCAATGTGACTTATAGAACCTAAAGAAATAAGTTGAAAAAATATTTTAATCGTAAGTACCCGGAGGTTGTTTTTTGGTAAATCGTGTATTTTGGAAATTACATTTAGATACAAATTACTGAGTAATGAAATATGCATAATATTTTTCGATCTTACCAACGTAATAATAAGAAAATATGAACTGATATTTTTCACAAAAGAAAGAACTTTAAAAAAATAACAAAATAACAAATCGACAAGAAATTAAAAATAAAGAAAGCAATGATCTGGAATCGAAAAAAAGTAAAAAAATAAATGTGTAAATGATCGGTACGCGAACCACGGCCGTCTGTTTTGGGGCCGCCCGATTACCTACCGAGCTATTATGACATTTTCTCTTGCGCCGAAATTTACCGTCATATTCGAATTATATTTTTCATTCCCTGAAAACGGGGATAAAAGGTCATTTTCTAAAAATGAAACCTAGCTAGATCGATTTTTCGCCCCCGAATCTACGCACATACTAAATTTCATGAAAATCGCTGGAGCCGTTTCCGAGATTCCGATTATATATATATACAAGAATTGCTCGTTTAAAGGATAAGATTAACATACATTTTGTATAAAAATAATATTGTTTACTGGCCAAGTGGTGTTACAAAATGATGTTAATGATGTTATGATTGTGGCAGAGATAACAGATCAAACTCTGATGAAAAACCGGCTAAAGTCCTTAATCCTAATGGGGTAGACTAGTCTATTACACTGATGTAAGTATGATTGTGTACGAGTGACAGGTCTTGGATAGAATAGCTTGTATCGCAAGAGTTGAGCGTGAAGAGCGGATTGTGGCAAAGATAACAGATCAAACTCTGATGTAAAAACCGGCTAAAGTCCTTAATCCTAATGTGGTAGACTAGTCTATTACACTGATGCAAGTATGATTGTGTACGAGTGACACGTCTTGGATAGAATAGCTTGTATCGCAAGAGTTGAGCGTGAATAGCGGATTGTGGTAGAGACAGCAGATCAAACTCTGATGTATAAACCGGACGAGGTTTGGGCGTAGTTCGGGGGCGGGTGCGAATGCGGCTCGTTGAAGGTCTTCACGACGAGGAGGTCCGAGTCGACGTGGATGTACACGTGGCAGCGGTTGGCTCCGCGGCCGGTGCACCGCCAGCAGAGGGTGCCCGCGGCGGCCCTCACCACCTTCGTCGGCCTGCTGAAGGTGTACCGGTCGTACATCAGCATGCTGCTGCCGCTGGCCAGCTTTATCAGTTTCGCTGCAACAATGTGACTGTTAGCGATAACAGTTTAAGTGAAACTGAACGCGGCGAATGTGGACAACGGAATGGTTACTTTTCTTTTTTTTTCGTGGGGAAATCCATTATGGATACCTGAGCTCCCTGTGAGGGGTAACCCAGATTATGTCGGACTCTCACCGACTAAAACCCCACGTTGGTCGCCAGCTACTCAAATGAGGGGTCACGGGATCTCCTTTCGGAACACTACCGCGGCCCCTCCTTCGTATGGCTTAGATAGCCCCATCCTCGCAGTGCTAGATATTTAGGACTGTACCTGCATCGGTGCTGCCTTCACAGCGACCTTTGTGCCGCTGTTGCAGGTAGGGGAGAACCATTATTATTTAAAGGGCCATGAAGAGATGCGCGAGCATGTCTGCGGCCCCGCCTCCGGGTGGGATCCATCCTCTCTCTCTCTCGTTCAGCAGCCTCCTTCTGGACCATTACCTTCTCACAGAAGATGGCTACGGCCCTCCATGCCGTATCTCCACTCAGCATCGCCGACACGACTGCTGGTAGAGAGAGGTCCCGTCCGACTTCGCCCGTTAGGGAACGGAATGGTTACTACTACAGTTACAGTCACAGAATACTTTACCTTTGTAAAGTTCTGTTTACGAATTCAACGACCTATATAGACTACAAGCCGCTGCTCGCGACTACGACTGCGTAGAATAGGCTGAAGGCGTAACATTCAGACAGAAAGACAGATGTACATAAAAAAATATACATATAAATTATAGCCTATGTTTTATTCTGATGTATAAGCTATATTGTTGTAAAGTTTCATTAAAATCCATTAAGTAGTATTTGCGTGAAATATTAACAAACATCCATCAATACATACAAACTTTAGCGTTTATAATATTAGTAAGGATAGCGCGCTTGGTGATAACTGGTAATTATTTAAACCATATAAGTATTTACGATTTTAAGTGTTCCTAGCGATCATCGCTTAAGCGATTCCATCATGATGTTTGATGTCAAGTATACTACCACCTAAGGTGAGTAAAATTAACAGCCTATACATGTCTCGCTGCTAGGCAAAGGCCTCACGGCCAGTCGATCGGGTGCCTCCACTGCTAACTGCCAGACTTCACATATCATAGATACGCAGGTTTCCTCTCAATCTTTTCCTTCAGCACCGAGCACGTGATAAGGAAGCACTTGATTGCAATTAACAATTTCATTGGTGCTGGCATCGGGACTCAGGCTCGAGTATATTGAGTTAAAGGAGAAAAATTTGATCGTAATGGGATTCGATGCTCTATATCTGTGAAACTCTATTCTACCGTTCCCTAATGACGCACACTTTTATTGTTGAAACTTGATCGTTGTTTATTACGAATAATTCAAATATCCCTTTGGAAAGTACTTTTAACAACGCTGATTTGAGACTTATTTCATTTATATTGATTCTATAAATGTCGACTAATCCTGTGTAAATATAATATTTGCTCATAAAGTTGTGACAGTTTTCCTTCTTATTTCGAAGCTGCTGTGGCATAATTGACGTTGAGGTACTAAAACGAAACATTATTTTCTTTTTGTAATCAGTAGATGATTTTGATTAAAATTTGACAGAAGAAACAGCAAATGAAAAAATACAAGACAATAATTAAGATTTATTTAAATTAATAATATAAAAAATATTATTATTAAAAAAAATCGTATAGCGTATGTGATCAATAGAGACATGGTAATAATATAACTCATATTATAAAAATTATAAAAACGCTTTCGAAACATTTACCCTGCAAAATTTAACTTTATAAGATGAAAGCAAAATAATGTAAATAGGGTGCATCAAATGTAAGTTTATTACGAAATTTTGAATTTATATTAAAGTTTACAATGACTTTAGTTTACCGCGTCCTAGCTTTGGTCCAACTTTCATTTCAGTATCTTAATTTAACAATCAATGATGTCTTGGCTTAATTAAATTAGACTTGGATTAATTATAATTATTACTTAGATTTATTTTTACTTATCACGCTTAATGTACATATGTATTTAGGAGAAAAATTTATTCATATACAAGATTAATTTAACGATTTAGGCTACTGGTTAGCCAAATATTAATATAATTTAATTTCATGGAGTTTCCACTAACCGATTGCTGTTACTGGTATAGTGTTCTTCATAATTATTGCAACATTTTCCTATATTATATACAAAAATAACGATTTATAGTTAGGTCATTGTAAAATCTTGATTAATAAATCGAGGCGGAAGTAATAAGACTAGTGACTAACTGGCTGTGTGCCGCCAATCTTAATTTTTAGACCCAATTTTAACAATATCTTTTTATTTATTAAATATTCGTTATAATACATCCATAATTAGTATATGCGTCAAATTAAAACACTGGCGTAACAGATCATTAGTTTTATGTCTAGATGGATATGAGGGATAATTTACATTTTCTGATGATATTTAATTTAAGCAATCGAGAAATGATCAGGCTATATTTGAATCAGAATCTGAGCGTTGTAGCTTTGTGCGAGAGACAGTGAATCTAATTAGTAAGTTTCGATTATACATTTCAAGTATCGATTATCATTATTTAGTATCGATTATAAATGGAAAAAAATCAAATTAAATTTGATTCGAAAAAATAAACCTATTTATTATAATCATTATAATAAATAACACCAAATGAGAGAATCCATTGATACCCATTTTAATACAAATCTTGATAGAATTTGAATTTAAAAAGAATTAATTTACTCGATTTATTTTACTTGCGTGTAATTTAGAATTTTCTTCTTTGATTAATGGCCTCTCTTAAAATAATTCTGCCAATGTTAAGTCAGCTAGTTTATCGATAACAGCTGTCACCAGCACTAAGCTACATCGTAAATATTATACTAAAAAAATTCGGCAGAAGAACGAGGAATGTGTAGGACGAGAGTAAGTAAAACGAATGACCACAAAACCAAAATTTTACCAATGTTGGTTATTTTAGTCTAATAATGTAATGCCCAATTTCAGTCGTTAACATTAATACTATCATTAAAGATAAAGATGTTAACACCCAGGGTTAGCTGCATTTATAAATCATTTTCATTGCCAATGTGTCGTTGTTTCAATTGATACTTACTGATTAACAATAATAATACTATGGCGGCAAACTTTCAATGTTTAGAATACGTTACGGCATTCATGTTGATGGGAATCCAACACGAAACTCGATAAATTCAAATCGCATTCGCAATAAACAAGAAGCCATAGAGACATCGTTTGCGAGTGGCGTTTGTCGTACGTCGAAGTGGTCCGCTCGTGTCTGTCTTACTGCAGCATCTCGACGTAGAGGCCGTCGTCAGTCCTCTCGTAAATGGGGGGGTCGTGTGTGTGCTCGTTCGCCACGCACACTAGCTCGTAGTCGTCGTTCACGTGGAGGCACACGCCGCACTTCCAGCGCGCGCGCCCCGTGCAGTACCAGCGTTCGCCGCCGCCCAAAGGTGTCGGGTTGCTGTACGAGAAGCCGTTCAGCATCAGCAGGGTGGCGCCGTCTATCGCGGTGACCACCGTCACTGCAACCAGACCGGATCTGATAGTCGCGGCGTGGCTCGAAGGGTCGGGAATGAGAGAAAGCGGGTCGAGTGCGCTGACGCCACGTACCGTTCCGCCGTGTATTCGACATTGACCCTGGCCAAGTGCCGAATTGCGAATACTGCTAAGATTTATTACTTGACACGGCATTTTTTATGTGGCGTTATTGTTAACGTATAAAAGTTGGAAAACTCTTTCGTATGTGAAATAATAAGATGTGAGTGGTGCGGCTCTTCTCTATTGAAAGATTGTCGAGCTCTTCGCCTTGAGACAAAAGGCCTATTGGGTCAAGAGTACCAACGTAACTTGACAACAGGCATGTCATAACTTGACACCTGGCATGTGGCACTTCTATTTGTACTTAAGGTAGTGTATTAAAGTGTATTAGTGTATTAAAGTGTATTAAAGGTGTTCCGCAATGCCTTGAAACTCTGCGATGTTTATATAGATAAGGGATATCACTACAGTACAGTTACGACCAAGCTTTTTAGGAAATCAATTTTAATAAGTGTCCAACATAAACAACATCCTGCTACATAGACAAGCTCGAAGGCCGTTTAATCTTGATACGCACAGACAGCAGATGCTATACGGAACCTCTACCTTTGATCGAAAGTGGAAACGTTACCAGGACGACCGGGGAAAAATTTTGTCTGTAGCCCACCAAAAGGTTGTCATCAACAAGCAGCTTTACGTGACCTTGAATTTAAATTTCTCATTCCGAATTATTTCTTATAAACCCAGATTGATTCGATTGTTTTAAAGGAAAAAATAAAAAAATATGCAAACTAGAATACATTTTATTTTAAAAAAATTACCATAATAAAAGCATTAATTATATTTTCAATTAAAAATTACAGTACGTGAAAACACGTATACCTAAGCTAATTACTCAACAAAATATGAAAAAAAGTTTAGAAACTAATATTTTCTAATAATATAAAGAGGCCCTTACTAGTAAAAGAATCTGCTTGTACGATGCCTGGTCAATCGTAAGTGTTTTATATTCAATAAAAGTTCATTTAAAATTTAACAAAATATTGAAAAAATGAAAATGCTGACAAAATATGCGCAATTATCAATATAATCTATTAGATTTGTAAACTTGCGTCATTTACAAATATAATTAGATTATCTTTGTATATAAAAACAATTATCAATCGTATGTTTATGTCCATAAAACTTAAAAACTGGCCGATGGTTTGACTTCATTGTGTTCACAACATAGCTATTGAATAGGACAGTGTTTTTGTTTATCAACTTTTGTACCGAAGTTAGAACGGAACCCAAATAATAAAAAACCAGAGTGAAAAGTGGCCGAATTCAACCTGTTTCCATTTAAAATGTTTCTTAGCATCATATTTGTATTGTATCTTAAGCGAATTAACATTATTTTATATACTACTAATCTTATACTCGTATTAAATATATTAAAAACAAAAAATATTAAGTAATATACTACTATGAAATTTATTTTATCTTAAATGTACTTTTAACATAGTAATGATTTTATAATATATTTTATTACGTTTTGTATTTTATATTATTAGTGCAAACATTATTAGTAAGTACGAAAATATAAAAAAGAAAAAGTATAGAGTACAGTTTTTACTTACATTTTAGTACCTCCCTAATTACATAAATATTAAAAAAAAACGATTTGATTACTTTAGGCTTTGTGGACAAAACTAATCAAATCGATTTAGTCGCAACATAATTAGGTAAATGTACATATTTAAATCCGAAAATATAACACATTTTTTAAATTCTATATCCGAAGGAAAACTAAGTAGGTACACGAGCAAAACTGTAAATAACCTTAAATATATATGTTGTTCTTCAATTGTGAGATGTATATTTTTAACAGATTGCTGATGGAGGGTAACGTTTTTCGGCAGTACGTATTTATAATTCTCTGTCACGCTCCGTAGTATAAACTGTCACAGATAACATATGAGATGCATTACATCCGTCATGCAAAAGTGACATAGTGCATAACGTTTAAGAACATTTTCAAATATTGTAATGTGAAGTTGTATTTTTACTTTGTAATTTTTCATCCCTATTGCGTTGTGAAATATACATGTTTCGGTTTGATTTCCGCCTCCGGCTGCCTGTGCGTGTGATCGCCTTTGCTGACGACGACGTTCAAATTGTCGTCGGTCGTTAATGAAGCTTTGCAATCCTCGGTTTTGCTGGCGGTGCACTTCCAGACGATGCCCTTCTTCGATTTTGTGCGACGCGTGAAAAAGTGATTCCTATAAAGAAGCGTGTATTTGCCCTTTTTGTTTCCCTTGATCAACACCGGCTCTGAAATTCGTACCGTGCTTTTAATACTTTCATACCTTCGTAAACTATTCGAAAGCTTACTAAACTTAACTATAAACAGTATACATGGTTTGCATTTAAATGTAAAGCCAAATAAAGCTAAATAACAACGCAGATATATTTATAATAAAAAAAAGGTATCTAATACTAAAAATAGGATGAATGGGGAGAATGAGACAAGGAATATTTTAATATATTTTATTATATTCAAGTAACGATTGTAAATACTTCGCTTGGCTCAATATAGTTTTTTGATACCCTAAAATAATAATCATTACGATAAAGGCAATAAAGCTAATTGCTACAGAGATCATACAAAAATAATAATTTCTTAGACAACACCTTAAAGTTATAAAAATAATACACAGACTTACAATAAACACCTCCTCGAATAATAAAGTTTTTTGTTTGGCACAATGGACATGGATGAAAGAGAGTTTTAGCTACCAGTTGATACCAGTTTAAAAGGAAATTGTCCACCGCTTGACTTTTTTTATTTTTTTTTCGCCTTTTCGTGACTGGCCGTTGACAGAAAGTGCACTGCTTCGTTAAAACTAAAAGATTTAACACTGCTTTTCTGTTTCAATGTCCTTACTGCGAACTCTTACGTAGTCACCCCTGTTGTTCATATAGAAGACGGGCACCGGGTGATTGTGATTTCCGTTAACTACTGTGAATTCATCGTCATTGGTCAGCACGACTTGTGCCGAACACCCTTTCGACCTCCGCGACGAGCAGGTCCAGTTTGTTCTGCTTCTACTAACGAAATTCTTTGCGTACGTGTATTGCTGATACACCAGAAGTTTGTGGCCTTTTTTCGATAGGATAAAATGTATTTCTGCAAGTCCGTTACAAGAATAGATATTACAACACTCTTCGTTCATAGGCTTTAATTTGAAAACTTCTACACATACATAACAAAATCCTTCTGCCGTGTCTGTCAGTCTGTCTAAATGCGGTAAACTCAAAAACAAACTGAAAGGATTTCCATGTCTGTCAGTCTGTCTGAATGCGGTAAACTCAAAAACAAATTGAAAGGATTTCCATAAGACGGAGGGAATCATCAGAAGAAACGTTTAAGTGTATAATTCATCCAATTTCATGTAAATTGGCCGAAATATATAAATATGTAAATATTCGTGAAAGAAGTTGGAAAGAATCTTGCCACGAAGATTACAATCGGCGAGCAATCGAAAAATAATATCTAAAAGACAAATGTTTTAAAAATAACATTTATTTATTTTTATAATCTTTAATAAACCAATTTGGTGACGAGAGGTTGAAGACAAGTTAAATTATTACCCAACGCCACCAGATTATTTTTCAACGAGAAAATTGTACTAAAACTTAAATATCTAATCGGCTAAATCACCTTTTTGGTACTAGCCGAGGCAAGTGAGCATCTATATTATATATCCATGTTAAATAATATAGACTATATTCTAAATAATCTATATTCTATACAACATACTCTATATCCGCCGGTAACGAAATGTCTGGCGGTGGATGGTTGTGTTCGAGATTTAAATTTTTCACCATGAAAGGCTTCTCGGATTCGTCTAGCGTTACGTTCGCTTTGCAACCCTTCTTGTGGTGGCTCGAGCAAGTCCAGTAGGTCCCGCACTTTTTCAGATTACGCCATGAGTATGTGTAACCCTGATATAAAAGGAGACCGTGTGCTGATTTCCTGTATCTGGAAGGAATGATGAGAGCTTCTGAAAATAACAATAGACATTTATTCTGAATTAAATCTGCCGTAGCGAATATTTAGCTGACTAAAATCACGTGTGTCCTACAGATAGAAAAAATAAAGGAGATAAAGTTTCAGCAGCCACTATTTTCTGGTGGTAAAACTTAAATTGGAAACATATTGGATTACGAATGTAAAGATAATTGTACCTTTTGTGTTTTAACCACCTTTTGTTTTACATTCAAATATATTTTTTGATGTGTATATTTTCTTTCAATTTTAAAAAATAAATTGATAATGTAATAAATAAAAAAAATAGATTGGTAATGTAATAAATTATTCATAAGTACATATTAAAAATACCTATACCCTAATTTTAGTTGGACGTAATAAAAACTCCAAGAACTTACCTAGGCAAAATGTATTACATATAAGTTTTTGGTGGGCCAATTTCATAATATTTGTTTCATGTATTATTTTTTACATAATATTTTATTCAAATACATTTTACCATGAAAGATTTTTCCTATGGAAACTTAGTAAGCTATACATAGACATTTAGCATTCATGCTTATATTCAAATATTTATTGGCACTTAGATATAAAAATGTACATAATGTTAACAACATATCTATGCTATAATCAAAATAATATAGACAAAATGCATTACAATTCTTATAAAAAGTTAGTAATATTAAAAGAAAATAACTAACAGGTTTAATAAATTTAAAAAAAAAATACCATGAAAGTGCTTTTATTGTTATTACATATAAAATATATCAACATAAAAAGTTTTTTTGTATACAAGTAAAGCATAAATTTATACAATCAAAGAAATTTAAGACACAAAAGTCAAAGACAGTTTCCAAGTACACATACATGTTACTTAAGTCAGTGTTGCAGAAGCAATCTTGTAAATTTATGCAATATTTCTTTTAATATAGTAGTATGAAACTGAAATCTTAAATTACATGAGAGAATCTAATACTATATATTTTTTTAAATTAATTTGAATTTACTTCACTTTAAATGTTTGTCAAGTTTTACGGATTCATTTTATATCAATAAAAATAATTTATCGTATGAAGACAAAGTTCATATAAAAAAAGTTTCAAGCATTCAAAATTTCTTCAAAAGTGAAATATTTCTATTTAATCTTTAATAATATTTTATTTACTTACCAAGGCCTCAACTGCAACAGGTGTAAACACTTACCTGCAAATAATAAAACAGCTGTTAGAGAAAATGCATAATCTATGACATTGTTGCATATTTTTTTCCATTAACATCCAGTCATTTTTCGACCAAACAAAAGTTTTATTCGGTAAAGAAAAATCATTAATGAAATATTCAACAAGCATAATTTGGCAGTCGCTTATAGTTTTCCAGAAAAAAATATATAAAAGTTGTTACTTTTTCTAAACAAATCCACCATTTTGTTGTTGACATATATAAATCAGTTTTTGAAGTCAAATTAGTAAAATGGCGAAGTTTCTTAGTGAAAATAACATTTAAAATATTTTCGTTGAAAAACACCTAGACACTATTGGAAAATTTTAACCTCCTTTAATTCAATATACTTGAGCAACCTGAGTTCAATCTCCGGTGCCAGCACCAATGAAATTGTTAATAATAAGTGCTGACTTATCACAGAGTCAGCGGTGATTGAAAACATTGTAAAAAAAAAACTACATATTTTCAAAGGAATAACAAAAAAAAATATTTTTCAAAGATATTTGAAATCCACCAATTTACAGCTGGAGCAAGTGGAGCTGCATAGACTATGCAGCTGATACCCTCTGTAAAGACTTTTGCCCAGCAGTGGAACAAACATAAGCTGTTACTTTACTTTTTTTACAAATTTAATGTACCATGCATAGTTTGGCAGTCACTGCCTTGGTAGCATATAATTTATCAAAAGCCCTAATGGAACTTGTCTTAACAATGTTTATTCAGCATTGTAAACATGCTACTACAGTAAAGTTACCTTGTTTATATACAATACCTATTATGGTACAATGACCCACAGTTGTCCTTGCCCTCTGGTATGAAATTGCCAACATAACTTCTCAATTCAACATTTCAGTTCAATCTCATTAGTTACTTTGCTCTGGATAATTCAGTAGTAAAAAATTATGATGTGATCAAAAAATATCATCCAACTTTTTTAAAAATGAAAATGTTAAAATCAAAATCTGCTTCGCACGGGTGATATATATTATACATATGAACCTTCTTTGTGAATCACTCTATCTAGTAAAAAAATCACATCAAGATCCTTTGCATAGTTTTAAAGATTTAAGCATATATGACAGACAGCGTAGTATACTATGTAGTGAAGAACTTTATCATGAAGCAACAAACCTTAAATCCTTGTAGGGATGGCCCATTAAACTTTGATGAAAGGATACACCAACAGCCTCACTCACTCACACAAAAAGAGCACTAGACGACATATCCATTTTAAAATTAATTAAATGAACACTGTAGTCAAATTAAATTATTTCGCTACATATTTTTCAGAAAAACACAACTATCACACGGCTATCAAATATATCATATAAAATAATTGAAAAACATGCACTGGTTAAACATGCTTTACATCACCAAAACACTTATCATGCACATTAGTATAAAATTCATTTTCATTATCATATTGTTGACATATAAACCAAAATAAAAATAATGAAAAGAAAATAAACAACTTTTGTAGGTTATACTGCACTTATGCTTATGCCATCAAAACGTCAAATCTGTTAGAGACCTAGTAAACTTATTACGATTCGCTATAAATTACTTAAAAAGTTTCATTCAAAAATATCAATAAAATATATAAAAAGACTAACTTAACATATTTTTTTGTTGTTGGTTTTATCAGATCAAATACTTGCGAAGTTTGGATTAAGTCGCCATTTTAACCGACGGTGTCGTTTAAAAACCGATCAACTATAATTCGTTCTCGAAAACACTAGTTGTTGTACAGTTGTCAAAAACAAAATTTCGGAATTTTGTTTTTATTCGTTTTGTGTTTACAAAATAAAGTGAATTTTGAAATATATTCGCTTCTATTTAGTTGAATTTATTATTAAATTTTACACAACATATTAAGACGCGTTCCTTTTATACAAATAATTAAATCATTCGTTTATAACCTTTGTGATGTGATTTGAAGGAATAATAAGTGTGTGTTTTTGATTATAATAATTTGGTGAAATTTCAAGGGTGTGAAACTGTGAATATTCATGTGATATTTTGGAAACCTCCTCAAATCCTCACTCAAAGGAAAATATTAATCGTCGCAGAAAGGTAAGTCATTATTTCTTTTAGTGTAATACATATCAACAAACATTGTCTGTTATGATAATCTTTCTAGCGGCAATTTTAGTAATATATTAAGTTTCTTATTAATGAATAATGCTGTTGTGAAACAAATGGATTAAAAGATTATGAGATAAATCAGAAAGTGATTATATGTTGTGCGATACAATATTGTGTGAATACACAAACTCAAGTACTGTTGATTTTGTCCTATGATAAAGTATATTAAGTTATATTTATTATCCTTTTATCTTTTATATGTATATATAGGTTTTCCCAACATTAATAAACTTTCATAAAATATGTTAATGTCAATATTATATGTTGTTTTTATGAAATACACTGCTTCTGAAGTAATCTTGTATTTAAGTCACTACCTTTATCCCTTTAATTTTTAGTGTATATTAAGACAACTATAAAATTCTGTGAGTAAATTATAATATAATTGCATTCAGTGGTATGTCTGTTGGAAATTTATTGTAATGGTAAATGGTGAGTATTAAATTGGACAAGTAAGCAAAATGATATATTGTTAATAATAAAATAGTTTTTAATTGGTAAGTATATTTTATTAATGACACAACAACAATGTTAGATGTAGTAATTCTGATTTTTTTGAGGCAATTTTAATAAAGATAGTATTAGAAAAATTATAAGAAAAGCAGTAAATTTTGGCACCAATGGTACCAATACAGTTGTGAGTAACCAAGCACAAAGCTTGGGTTCTTACAAAGATTTTGTAGATTATGATCTAGTATATTATTATATTAAAACATTTCAGAAATTGAAGGTTACCAGTTTATACCTACACAACGTGGAAAACATTTGCTTATGATTAACGGCTACACATATTCGCAAATGAAACTGACCAATAACTACTACTGTTCTAAGAAACAGTCTGGCAACTGTCGGGCTAGAGTAAAACTTGATGAGGATGGCACAATTGTCAGTGCTGACTACAACCACACTCATCCACCACCAAAATATGTTCAAACTCCCTCGGGACAGTATTTTAAATTGTCGTAACCTAAATTCTCAATAAACTGTTAAAAAATAATGAGTTGTCTTTTCTTTCCTTGTATTTTTTAATATATAAACCAATTATATGTTTTCTACAACTGGTTAAATGTATAATTATACTTTAATATTGTTTTTCCTCAATAATTGCTGTTGTGAATAATTAGTTCATAAATAGTTAATGAATGAATATGTATATGTGAAATTATTAAATTATAAAAAATATTCAGCTTAAAATGTTAAAGCAAATATAGAATCAATTCTTGGGGCATGGTATTGTTTGGTAATTCAAATAATAATTAATCTTGTCAGATTCAATTCATTATCTTTATTTTTTTATGTAATCACAGGCAGATACATTATATAGTAACATTGTTTTTTTGTTTATTTAAAAATATGCTTAGTGTTATAAAAGATGTATTAAAGACTCATAATTTCAATTGCCTCTAATTATTGAAAAACACAAATTAACCTATATTTCAGTTTTGGAGTGCTTCAATTACAAGCTGATCCCGACTACTAGATGTAAAGGCAAATCGTTGTTAATGCATAGGGGATATACATATTATCAGCATATGTTTACAAGGTTTTTCTACTGTTCAAAGCGAAAGACGGGTTGTTTGGCGCGCATTAAACTGGGCTATGATGGCAGAATTGTTTTCGCCGACTGTAATCACATCCATGTGGCGCCTAATTATATGCTGCTTCCATCGGGCGAGTATGTTAAACTATGAATAAGTTTACTATATAATAGTTAAAGGTGTAGGTAGAGAAAAGGATTATCTTTAAACTGTTGAATAAGGTTTTATTTTGGTAATGATATTGAAAAAGGTCTAATAATCATGTTCTCATAGTTTTTTTCGTTAAAATTAAAACTTTTATAGTTTTGACCTTGAAGTAGAAGAATGGATCTCATTGATTTATTACAGTTACAAGTAATTATAAGCTGCTATATCTTTTCATTTTATTTATGTTATTTAGATCTGAGTTGAGTATTAAATAATTCAAATAACACAATGTGATATGTCATATGTGTCTAAAATTTAAATTTTTGCCTCATTCAATATTCATATTGGTCATAATCCTATTTTATTCTACCATTTCTTTATTATTTTCATTAAATTTTACATTTTAATCTATCGCTCTAGGGATATTGGATAAATGTCTTCATCATAGTTTGTGATGGTGTATTTTGAATATTTTGTTTTATTCCTTATCTATTATTTGATAATTTGCCTTAACTTCTTGGGGTGTGCATTAAATATCGTAATTATGTTTATCCTCAACTAGCAGAAACTGCAGAATCATTAAAAAAAAAGAGTTCAGCTTCAATGTAATTTTGCCGCATAATGGACATAAACCATTTGCAATTTGCAAGAGTCAATATTCCATGATAGTTTTAAAGAATACACACTATAAAACTAGAATTATTCTTTGACCATTTATTTAGTCTCTTCCTATTTCGTTAATTACAAAACGAATAATGTCATTTTTCAGTATAAATAAGAATAATTTTCCCATAATTATTGATTGATGACCATTTTACTGCTGTGCGAAATGTTTTTTCATTCGAATTACTCTTTGTGAAGCGTACAAATGATGATATTGTTTTTACGATATTATGTATATATGTATACAATGTTGAATGTCAATTACCCACTAAGAAATGTAGTTTGTATGTTATACAGATATGTAAAACAATACATAGTTAACTTTCCTGCGATTTATTTTGTGCCATTATTTTATTATTAATTTTAATTGTTAATTATAACTTTCATGTTGTTGGCATTCATTTGAATACAAATTTTTCATTTACAACTTGTTGCCTCATTTGCGTTTAAATTCTCTTAAGCATAGAATTGTTTAATAGAGTTCATCGCACAATTAAATTCAGAATCTAAGTCCATTCAGTTCAGTGTGAAAAGGAATTTTAGAGAAAATTCTCCGATAGAATGTCTAGAGCATTTTTATGCTTATACAGATAACTTTAATTTTTAACGTTAAGTCGTTAAGTTTAATTACATTAATGAACGGAATATAAAAATCATTAAGGTCAATTATATTTATGATTAAAAAATTTTTCTACGCTGTGACAATTTCAACCTGAGTCTATTGTGATACGCACAGGACTCTAGACTCTGAGCTAAGCTTCACACCGACGAAAATCTCATCGTATTTATCAAATCCATTCAGTTCCATTCTTAAGTGCAGAGAACAGTACAATAAAATTGAATTTTAATAATAAAAGTGTCAATTTCTAATTTTCAAATTTTTGTTGCAATTTCTAATTTTCAAAGGGCACACTAGATGGCAACGAGCATTGCTGAATAGGCAATAAAAACAAAATGGATATATACAGCGCGTTGTTACAACCGCGACAACAAATGAACACACGTTTAACGCTACTTGCCAATAATCATAAAAACGTTAAAAGAAATCCATAATTAAAAAAAAATATTTTTCAAACAAGCTAATTAAGTAAAAAAGAAACAAAATTTATAACATCCTATACAACTACAACTGTCTGATTCATACATTCAGAGATTACAAGTCTTTCCTTCTAACAGTATTTTGTCTCTTTTAAATTCATTCAACCCATTCATATGCTTTGTGACCTTAACAAATGAACTTTACATTACAGTTTTATACGTAATGGTGTTAAAAAAATGGTGCTAAAATTGTTTGTTTTGGAAAATTTAATAACTCGGTAAATATTGATTTGATTGAACAAACATTAAAAAAATATAAAGTAGCATTATGTAGTTTCTCTAAGCTATTATTTTTTTAAATAGGTGTAAGAGAGTATGGTATTGCAGTATACACTCGATAAAATATATAAAATTTTTGTGCCTGGTAGGACCTCGCATTCGTAAAACTATTTTCTTTTAAACAGCTTCTCGACGAACCGAGGTATACAGAATGATGTCAAAGATATAAGAAAAACCTGTGTTATAAGTTCGAAAACTAGCACAAGTCGTCTTTAACTGGATCTTCACAAACGATTATACCTACTTTTAAAAATGCGAACAGATTTGTTATCCGTTTCCTTTTAGCATTATCTGTATCTATGTAATGTTATACTGTATCAATAAGTTTCAACAAACTTTTTTTGATGTACTTTTTAATAGGTAATAACATCATCATTATATTAAAAAGATGAATGATGATGAGAAAATGAAAGTTCGATAAGTTATCGAACATGTTTTAAAATTTTTGGTAGATTTTTCAGATAATGGCAATTACAAATTGATACCAACGCAGAAGGGCAAATATCTACTGATGATGGACGGTTACACTTACTCCCAGAATGCGCAGACGTCGAACTATTATTGCTCGAAGAAGAACGCTGGTTGCAGGGCTCGCATAAAACTTGACACAAACGGGAGGGTTGTGCAAGCACAGGTTTCTCATTTTCACGAACGGCCGAAGTACATCATAACTCCCACCGGACATTACGTGAAAATTTAAAGAAAACCAGATTTATAACGGACAAATGATATACCTATAAATAACTATCTCTGTTCATTCGTATTCATAGTTCATTCGAAAACAGAAATTGTATTTTTTTGTTAAATTAAATTCTTTCTCTTTGGAATCCTATCATAGTTTTCTTTTAATTATAACACATTAAGGCGATTTGGAACCAAACCTACGTTTTCTTTTTTAATACCGAATGCGCTTCTCTTATTTAAGAGTGTTTTGCAGGTACAAGAAGTTTCCTCTGGAATTTTTTCGAGAAAAAGAAGAATAACATTATCAAATGTAAAATTTGTTCATCAAATCTAAAACGCCACATGGCTAGACATTTCAAAACAAAACACCGAGTTCTCTACACAAAAATTCTGCCTTTAATCAAGAAACCGTATGTGGGTACGTATACCATAATAAGTATTTAGAATATAAACTTTCGAATATTTCAATAGAATATTTTTTTAGAGCCTGTAAAGCTAAGGACGAGTAGTACTTGGGTAAAAAAATATAGTACTGAAGTTGGGGAAAACCGACATAAGTGCGATTTATGCGAAAACATTTTGAAAATGCCCAAAGCTCACGGTAACTTTAAGCGGCATATTCGTTTAAAACATCCCGAAATATACCAAGTAGAAACAGAGTTCGAGGCGAGAGCGGAAAAAGAGGAAGGCGCTCAAAATATGGAACCTGAATATGACGTAGAGTACATAGAAGAAGCGCTAGAATCCGAGGATGGAGTTGTAGAAGAACATATCGAAGATCTCAAAGAAAATGCAAAGAACGCCCCTGATGTCGAAACCAGTGGGAGTCCAGTACCTGAAGCAATAGAGTATCAAGACGTGGGAAATCTGGATTCGCAACCTGAACTAAAAGATTATGGTGACATCGAACATATATTTGAAAACGATCCTGAGTTAGAAGACAAAATAAAATGGCTGGCACAAAGAGTTGTTCCTGGCAAGAGTAAGTAAACTTCATTATCATGACTTAAAATTCAGTCATGTTTGTATACGTATGTACGATTCTATATGTAGCGTTGCAAAAGTTACAGATGTTGATATTTGTACTTTTAACGCTTTTATAGGCAAAATTTAACCCTAAACCCCCATTCTACGCACTCGCAAATAGCGCTCTTCTTTGTGGTTCATTATTCGTACAACTAAGGAATGAAACGACGTCAGACCAACAGACCGGGTATCTCAATTTCCGTCCGAACATTACACGAGTGTCTTCAAGGAGAGAGTAAAGTTTCCTATAAATAAATAATACTTTACTAATAATGCATTAATGCAACAGAAGAAGTTACTTCCTGATTTATCCCACGGAACAGTTACGGTCAAATATTTAACTTAAAAAGTAGGTACTTCCTTTTTATCTAGTATAGTATAGTGGCCCGTTCTGTTTGGACGAAAGAAAAATCCGACAACCGGTTAATTTATAAATATAGTATGAGATTATAGTATTGGGATTTTCCCAAGCTGTTTAGAGGGACGTTACGCTGGCGCGGCTGGTCGTAAAAAACAATTCCAGATATAAAGAAATTGAAGCTAGTTTGAGTTGTAATTATAATTATGTTAGTAATTATTACATATGAAAGCAAAAATAAATATTATAATTTTTTTATAAAAAAAATGGCAAGTGATCTGATGTTAAGTAATTACCGCGGCTCATGGAAAACCACAGTACCTCACGGGTTCTACTAGCTGGGCCCCTACTAACTAACTAGGCCCCCGGCTAACTTACTCGACAGACAAACGCGAAAGAAAGTATAATATGTTTTTTCACGCGGCGGACAAACGCGAAAGTATAACGTCTTTTTTTGTTTGTGGCTTTCTTTTAATACAATGTATTAAATACTGTTACGTGTTCGGGGTTCGAAGGATTTGGAGAGAAAGACCTGCTGACTCTTTTGAAGACTTTATTTACTAGCGCTAGGTCCAACACAAAGCACTAGGTCCAATCACTAAGCACTAACGATGTCCTAGATTGTAGCCAAGTCGTAGGTTTCACTGGTATCGCTCTTGATCACTAGTTTTCACTCCGAAGTCGCCTCGAAGGTAGCTCAAACTGAACTGTCATCGCTCGCCTCCCTGCGGCTTTTTATATGGGCCGAGACCGGTTCCGGACTAATCCAGAAAGATCATTCCTGGAACGTACCCGACACGCACGAACATGTTCGTGATTCCGGAAAGTTCGCGAATGTACCCGGTTTTCGAGACTAGTTCCACAGCAGTTCCTCTAACGCCATCTAGTGTTGAATAGGGGGTTTTATGTCGTCTTTGTTCTTTAGTGGTTTTAATAGTTGACGCTAGATGGCGTTCGTTCCTTTGTGTGTTCATAACAATACTTTTTAAAGTTCCAAATTTGGAATTGAAAAATGGCGTGGACTTCACAACTAGCTCCGAATTGAGCAAGATCTTATTATTTGGTTTATTGTAGATTAATACGATTTTATTTATTCCTCACTAAACTTTTAAGTCACTGTAAAATTGATTTCATGGCCTTGACCGTAACTGATGAAGTCAATGACTTATTAACTTAGCTTATATAATTGTTAAGCGAAGTATGGTCCAGACAAGAGAAAAGCAACTTAAACGTAAAGCTGTTGCACGAATGAACAAACTCGTCCGGGTAAGTACCACGACCTCACAGAAGACCGGCGTAAAGTGGAAGTATAATACTTTCGCATTTCGTCTGGTGAGTGAGGTAGCCGGAGCCCACTTTATTCAAAGATGGCACTTACAATCCTAAGGTTCCTACAAATGTCAACGTGCGGTGATTATCACTTAACGTCAGGTTAACCGCCAGCTCGTTTGCGAACTTCTCACATAAAAAAAAATTACAACGGTTGTTAACTTCCAGGAGGAAATGCGTTAACTTGTGTCTGGAACTTCTTCAAAGCGGTGGAAGCGAACCAAGCGTATACTTGCATATTTTGCTACAAGGAAATTCGTATATTTCCGTTCAGCTGCTCGAATCTCAAACGGCATTTAGCAACGAAACACAAGAAACAGTTCAAACTACTGGTGAAATATGCACCGGAGTTTAAAAAAAAAGGTGTGGCAAGCCTTACCAAGCTACTGGAACAAAGCAATCGATCGAGTGAGTCTAACGGAGTTTTATATGGAGTAGTTTTTTTTTTTTCAAACTTAATAAAGAGCTCCTTTGTTTGTTGATAATTTTAATATGTAACATCCGGGATCACAGCAAATAAACAAACGTTTCCAGATGACGTTACTAAATCCTTCGAAGCGTCATATTTCGAGGGACAGGGGGAGAGTAGATTCAAATGCAGAAGCTGCGATGAGGTTATAGAATGTAAGGACTCTAACAGCTTGGTGCTGTTTAAGCACATTCACGACAAGCACGGGGAGGAAGTGATCAGCCAATTGAAGGACAACGTGGACGATGACGAGGAGTTCAGCGTTTTGTTTGTGAAGAAGAAGGATCTGGAACTACTGTAAATGAATAATATATCCCAACCCAACTAGCGACCCGCCCCGGCTTCTCACGGGTGCAATGCTAAATGTTTGTTTTCGACATTAGAATTGTCTAAAATTATCAGTGTTTCTCTACTATGTTATGTAAAACCTAAATGTTATGTAAACCTTCCTCTTGACTCACTCTATCTTTTAAAGGAAACCGTATCAAAATCCGTTGCGTATTTTTAAAGATGTATGCATATATAGGGACGGACAGACAGCGGGACGACTTTGTTTTATACTATGTAGTGATGTACTTAACAATAAATACATACAACAACCTATAAGCTCAACACATCGCATAAATAAGTTGTAGTCGATGGCCGTTGGAGCAAGGTTCGGCATGTGTGATTATTTCCGAGATTCCTCATAAGGTCATTAGAAAACTGTAACGCTTCTCGCGGGCACTGTGTCCGATGAAGGTTTTGCGTATCCATTAAACCTGAAAGCGAAAACTTTATGAACAACTTCAAGTTATCGTCAAAGTGACACAATGAGAGTTATTATACTAACAATACACCCTGTATAACTGCACAGTTATTTATGCGTTCTTTAAATTTATTTACGGTATCATACGAACCCACAAAGGGTTGTAATAATTTTTACTAGATTCAGATAATACGGTTTCTTGTTTAATTTGAAATCAATGCACGTGCAAATCTAATTCTACGTTTATTAAAATAAAATAATGCTTGTGTTCCTTACAGATACTGTAGATTTGTATAGTTAAAATATTCTTATCATAATATATTACGGTTATCTTAGATAAATAAATAAATGGGGGTTGTTAGACTCGGACAATTATTTGTGTGCACACAGATAATTGTTCGGGATCTGGTAGTTTGGTCTTAAAACACGTATTCAAAAGCACTTTTGCAGCCAATTCACATATTGTGCCAACTCCGACCAGGTGGGATAAGGGAAAGGGATGGAGATATTATTGGTTATCTATAGTATAAGTATTACGTATACTGTGTGTAAAACAGTAATTATTTTGAATTTTGTTTGGAAAAAATATAACAGACAAATTTTTATATTAGTGTATAAAATCAATACTTTTAAAACTAAAAGACAAAAATTTTGTTTGGCTATCAGTAGGATAACCACTCATATTTTATTATTTCTTGCATTGGCATCAAACTCTTGATATATATTATTATAACACATTTGTTATAATTGTAAATTAAAAAATATTCACATAAGTTACGGTTGTTACTCGTTTAATAATGTTTTATGATGATATTGTTGTTTATTTATTTTGCAATATTATTTTAATCGGTCATGGCTGCAAGCTTAAAATACATAATAACTATTTCGTATTATAAAGTAAACAAGACAGAAATTTAAGTTACGATTTACGGGATCAGTGTTTGTTTTTAAGATGGAACAATTAAAAATATTTTTTTAATGGTTATAATATAACCCATCCAACTTTAAGTTTTAAAAAGTAGTTTACGTGAACTAGTCAGCAATAAACTTAGACACAACATAATTGCGACCGCAAATGTTTAAATCAAACTGTTTAGCATATTTCGTAATAGTTTCTTCGATACAAATTACCTCTTTCGAATAGTTTGCATTGTTCTTAAATATTAACTTTAGAAATACATGAATACAATATGTAAATAATTGTAGGAAAAATGTTAATTTAGGGCAAGTGTTTTATTAGTTTGTCTTTTATTATTAGTTAGTTTAAATTTAGGGGCAATTTACAATAGATATTGTTTCCAAATTAGAACCTTGTAATGAAATGACGCTTTCTAGATGAAGCTATTTTCAACGGATTTTGAATTCTTTAATCTGTAAAATTAAGCCTAAGACCAAACTAACCACTACTACAAGTCATGATACAAATTAGTAATGCGTAGATTTTTAGATATCATTATATAATGTATATGCTTGATTTAAAAATTAAAAAACTAGTGGTAGCCCGGACTAATACTGATATTCAGATTTCCAACTCGTATTTTTTTCTCCGTGACCATGAACGCGGCAGGGTTCGTAACGTCGGGAAATACAATAAAAGATTAACGCAACAAACCCTTGAAAAATAGTTTCAATAAGTAATTAAATATTAGATCTCCATATGTGTACCAATTTGACAGAATTGAAATTGTTATCACTAACAAAGTCTTAACTCTCTGTCATAAATTAAAAGTGTTGCCTCTTCAGTTACCAACTGTAATGTTATGTAAATAGAATAAAAAAATAAAAATAAAAGAATATTTAAACAATTTTATTTATTTTATGTGAGTTAAGTGATTAGTTTAGTATTATATTTACAATTTATTTGAGAAAAAATTCGAAGGAACTCGACCGCCATGCGCAGTTTTATGTTTTCATTATATTATACGGGCAAAGGTCCATTAAAGACCTGAAACAATAGTCAATTGACATATTACGATCGCTTGTCATTAGACAAGATCGTTTGTCAAGATGTTTCCTAGTTTTATGGTTTTAACCGTCAGATCTTAATCCACAGGCATATTTGACTATAAGTTGATTCCCACACCGAAAGGGAAGCACTTACTGATGATGGACGGCTACACGTACTCGCAGAACGCAAACTCCCATAACTACTACTGCTCGAAGAAGGATTCCGGTTGCAAGGCGCGCATCAAGCTGGCCAAGGACGGCAGGATCAACCAGGCTTTGTGCACCCACTTCCACGAGCGACCCAGATATGTCAGAACACCTGCAGGGAACTTTGTCAAAGTTTGAGTCGCACCGGATCTATCCTTGTCTGTACATTCACCTCTATTGCTTATATTTTAATGCTTCCGAGTTTGTTATGCTTTGTGATATTTATTGATTGGTAAAAAACTAGTTTAAAAAAAATGCAATAAAATTATGTGTGGTCTAAATAAAATGTAACCAGATAAATTTGTATTTTTTTATTCCCTGTCAATGCATTTGAAACGATGTTAAAGTTGGTTGTTGAATTTTCTAAATTAAATATTTTTAACTTTGATTAATGACAAAACAAACATGCGGCATACGTTCCCATTGCCCTAAAATTGAATTTTACTGAGCGAGTTATCACTACGGCTGGACCGTCACATCAGCTGAGTAGCAGTCAAGTAGGGGCCAGTGTGTATGCACACACTCACACAAACAAACATTGAAGTACAGACAAAGAAGGTTATTTAAAAATCTGGGCATTAGGCTTCCCAATTAAAGATGAATTAGGACGTACAACTTGGTGTAAAACAACAATTATTCTGTGGAAAACTTTTTAACAGTGTAATATTGACCTCAACCATAAACTTTGAACTCGTTTAAGATATTTTCTGATTCAATTGTCATTCTAAAGATTATTACTTTTTTTAATATGTCTAATATTTGTGAGAATTTGGATATTCTTTCATACATCAGGTTCTTTAAACCTTATAATTATATCTAATACAAATAAAATTACCGTTGACAGCACACTTGACTTGCGTAATCTCCAATTCAAGATTTAATATAGCTTAGTTATATTTACAATTGCAGTTCATCAGATTGACTACGTATTTATCCCGACACGGCGTGGCAAGCAGTTGCTTATGGTAAACGGGTACACTTACTCTCAGAACAATCACGCGAGGAACTTGTTCTACTGTTCCAAGAGATCGGCCAATTGCAAGTCCAGTGTCAGGCTGGACGATTCAGGTCGTATTATTGGCATCAGGGAGAATCACGAGCATGCGCCGCCGAAATACATCGTCGCATATGACGGAACCTACTTAAAGATTTCCTCCTAAGTAATATACGCATACGTGCGTTTAATGTTATAGATTTATATTTTTCTATAATGACTACTCCATTTTTGCCGTATTGATTGTAATTTTCTCTCCAGCGCCGTGATTTAGTCCCTCGAAATATTTTAATTATACATCTATTTTATTTTATTATACGTTCTAGTGAGTACAAATATTTTTTCTTATTTCTCCTGCCCTTATCGCACATCGCAACCTTCCTCTTTCCTCTATCAACCGTCATCTTAATACCCCACCCCTTTCAAAGACTTTCTTCATACAATCCAGAAAAATCTATCTCGGTCTTCCTCTAGCTTTACACTCTCATCACTCTTCTAGTAAATGGCTTTCATCCCTTCTCATAACTTGCCCATACTATGTCAACCTAACACTAATTATTTTCTCAGTCACGGGTGCCTTTAAGCTTTCCCTCATATACTCATTCCGGATCTTATCTTTTCTTGACATACCACGCATCGATTACATCAACACACAGCAACTCTGCCTCAAGCATTTTTCTTTCATCTCTTTTGTTGCCCAACACCCAGATCTATACATCATGACCGTTCTCAACACCGTCTTGTAAATATTCCTTTGAGTATCAGAGGCATCTGTCACATGTAACTCTAGAAACCTGTCGCCATTTCATCCAGTCTGCATTTTTACTATTTGTAACATCTCGAACCCGTTGGCAAACAGCACACACCAGGGTCTCCTCCTGCATGTTTGATTGCTAATTAGCAGGAATAGATAAGATTCTAAAGCCGATTCCTTATGTAAGCCTTTTTTTTGTCATTAGCAGAGAAATCGACGAAATTTTATCATCTCTTACATGACTGGGTTATGTGGATGTCGTATCCACTAAATTACGTACGTATGATCCGGGGTCTCCAACGGAACGCACCGGTGTTTCTCGGTACTGCGCTTGAGCATGCCTCGGAGAAATAAACCTTCCCAGATACCCTCACCATCTTGCAAGAGTAAGAGAGTATTTCGCACTATTTCTTGCTTTCTTTATTTAAAGAACATCGTCCTATAGGATAAAATTATCCTGTGTTGCAAGTACGCGTTTTTACAAACATAAATTTTGCGTGGACAAGCACCCAGATGAAACAACCATCTGTGGGCCACACAAATAGTTGTCACGTGTGGGAATCGAACCCACGAACCTCGACGCCGAAGCCAATACCTTGGCAACTGCGCCACGGAGTCATCTACTATAGCAATAGTAGATGACTCCGTGGCGCAGTTGTCCATGTACCCAACGTCCCCTTTAAGTCACCTTTTACGATAAGCAGGGGATAGGGAGGCAGCTAGTACACATGTTTTTTTAGAAAATGATGTTTATTAAGTTAGACACGATTACCTTCAGCTATATCTTCTATAATTGTATCGGCATCAGCGCCAGTTAACTCATTTCATATCAGACCTATAAAGCAAATGAACTCGAAAATGCAGTATAATTGATTATTTAATGAAAGGTGAACGATACATTTTATGTGATGGATATGAAAAACATTTTGATATTTATATTTTGACTTCCTTTCCATGTCTAACTTGTTAACGCAAAACATGTTCTAATTTGAAGGCATAACAATTACTTAACCATTTGGTATCAATTTCAGGCTTCGGATACAAATTCATTAAAACACGATCAGGGGGCTCTTTGCTCATGCTAAACGGGTACACGTTCTCCAAGCACTGTCGCTCAATGAACTTCTATTGCTCGAAGAAGAACCAGGGCTGCAAAGCTAAGGTGAAGATGGGGAAGGACGGGAGAATAGTTGCGAATCCTATCGAGAAGTGCATCCACAACCACGCTCCGCCGAAATATGCTGTCACTTCAACCGGCTTTTATTTCAAGATAGCATCCTAAACCGTTAAGTCCTGCATTTTTTTTATTTTTCACCTCTTCTGTCAACGGTCGGCCCCGAGTACAGTAGTTTATCTCCTCTATATTATGTTTCGTTGTGAGATAGAATAGGTTTTTTTTCCAGGTACGGCAGAGTACCGAATGATACCGTCGCAACGCGGCAAAAACCTCCTCATGCTGGACAACTACACGTTCTCCCAAATGAAGCTCACGCACAACTTCTACTGCTCGAAAAAGGACTCCGGCTGCAAGGCGCGCGTGAAGCTCTTCAACGGATCGATCCTGAAGAAGTTCACCGAGCATAACCACCCGCCGCCCAAGTACGTGGTGACCCCGAACGGCTTCTACGTAAAGATACGAAATTAAGCTGTGCTCTGGTTCGAGGATGTCGCACCAATTGCACAAGTTGCCATTGTTGCCACTACTTGATTTGTATCCAAGGAATTCTGGACTCTGCATGCTCCTCGCCTCTGTACAGTTGACATGAAATGTCTATGCATCGTCATGTTCGATCATTACTCGAAGTAATAGTTGTTGTGCAAATCGTTGCTTAAAATAATGGAATACTCCAGTCAATGACGATTTTTAAGATTGAACTGACTGTAAATTGAAATTCCAATCTAAATAGGTATAAGTATATATTTATAAAATTTTAATCATTTTTACCTGAAATTACTTTATGTAACCATCTTTAACAGTAAGCGCTTGTAATGAATATGTCCTATATTTGTAATCATTGACCCGTATTCAATATACTTGGGATATCAAAAATGCAATTATTTTCAATCTTTGGATAAACGGTATGCATAAATCGGCTTGCAAAGGCCACCCCATTAATGCCCGGTTTCACAAGTTCTCAACTATATTCAGATTAGCTATTGGTTCAATAAAGTTTTTTTTTAATGTTAAAAGTTGTCAAGCAAGCAAATGATTCACCTGATATTAAGTGAATACCGCCGCCCATGGACATCCGCTACACCCGAGGGTTGCAGATGCGTTGACAACCTTTTGAAAATTGGGCTCCGGCTACCCCACTCACCAGACGAAACGCGAAAGTATTATACTTCCACTTTACGCCGGTCTTCTGTGAGGTCGTGATACTTTCCCGGACGAGCCTGCCGATTCGTGCAACAACCGATGCTACTGCGTGGCCCTACCATACCCTACCCTTTAATATGCAGGGAAATTTTTTGAGAAGTGCCCAAAATTACACAGGAGGTTCAGACTCGGTATAATCGTTTATTGAAATAAAAAACAAAGCATTTTTTCAATAAAATAAGATGGCATTCTATTCCCTAGAAAACAGAACGTGTTGACAATGCGGTAGTCATTCATAAATACCTAAATTTTACTGTGCACTAACTTTTGTGCCTGTTATTTATGAATGATCGCGCGTAAAATAAACGAGTTGCGTATAAATCACGCACTTTTTGAGATAAGTTCAAATGAATGTACTTACGAGTGATTTTAATTAATTTATCATTTTTATGTAACATTATTTATGTCTAGAATCTAATAAAAAAATGGATACACTTAAAAGCCACCCTGGATAAAAGCCACCCTGTATACGTTTCTGAATACTCAACGAACCATTCAATAACTATGGAACCGATAATTAGTTCCTTGTCTCCCGCTGAATTGGTCTGTTAAATCCATCAAGTTTAAAATTAGATTTATTTTAAATTAATAATATTTGTTCTTTATTTTCAATTATAAGAATAATTTATCGAGGTAACTAAGCTGTTAAGCGCTGTTTTAGTAGGATGATGTTCATTAATTATCAGCGAATGTATCGACTATCGTTGTCAAATAAAAACGACAAACGCTCCTTATCTCATTGTCCTGTCTTTGACTTTGTTTTGTATTTTGTGGTAATATTTGTTCACTTTCTTTGCTATTTAATTGTAGTTTTATTTTAGTGATCTTGGCTATCGTTGCTTAAATTTAACCATTCTTTAGTGAAAAAAACACTAATGTTTGTTGTTGCAGTTTGGAAAAAATTTGCAAAAATTTTAATGTTTCTTATTGAATTAGCCAATGACTTTATATTTGTATTCCACAACAAAAGACGGATGGGACCACTGTAGGGGCAAAGAAATAAACTTGAATGGCATTAATAATAACACGAATTGACTTAAAACTTGTACCTAGTTGTTAAGATATAAAACGTTAAATAAAATTATTGAACCGATAAACGGCACTCATTGGTCAGTTAGGTCAACCTTAGTTTAAACGGAGTTTATCTTGGCGTTGTTCCGTAACGCATTTTCGTAGGTTATCGAACCAATAACTGTAACGAATAGATAAACTGCCGACAAAAGTTCCTAAAGACCTCAATGCCTATCCATTTAGCCCAATTTATATTTAGCGATCCTAAATGAACCTAAATTTATACGATTTTTGTCAATAAATAGTTTAAATCAGACTTTAGTCTAAAATTGGCATGTGCATTCAAAATTAACACCAATTATTTTCCAAGTTCAATAATGGGGCTTTTGTATCACTACATGTATTCAAATAGTTAAGTAGGTATACAAAATCTCTTCAATTTTCTCATAAATAAGTAGTGCAAAAATTATTCAGGGCAACTATGTTTAAAGAAAAACAATAATTATTGTTTGCAAAATTACGCATATAAAGTAGATAAAAAAACAAATTTATCATATTATCTAAAGTTTTATATGCCTCAGGTTATAAGTAAAACTCGAGTTAAGTTACTAAGACCTAAAACTCGTTCGAACGATGATAATTCGTCGCCATTTTTATGGGTATCGTTTCTTAATTTTTTTATGTAGAAATTCGTTTATAGGAAGGTAGGTATTGTAATCGATCTCCAAATCGTTACCCATTTCTCTTGCTACTCATCGTAAGAATTATAAAAATATCTCTGTGTCGTTTGTGTATTATTTGTAACTAAAATGTATTTAATTGCATATTTTTTTAATGAAAACCTAACACTAAACATTGTTTATTAAAGAAATTGTTATATTCTTTGTGAATATTACCAAGACTACTATTAGAAAATACCTTCAATTCCATAATTATGGGTTGGTTCGCTCGGTGATTCTTACGTATAAAGGATTGTATATAATTCCTATCAACGACATGTCTTAAAATTGAAGATTGTTTTATTTCGTGCACAGTAGTGACAAAGTATTGTATCCACGGCTTATTTAAACAAATAAATAATGGTGCATTATTGGCTTCAACTCTATAGATATAAAGTATAGCGTTGAGTTGGTTATAGGGGCCGTAAAATATGTGGAAACGAAGAATCTGTAAAAGGTTTAAAGCCGTGTATTCTATTGGAACCTTATGTCGATGAGTCCTATGTTAACGAAAAATGTAGGAATCATCGGGGTAGGTACGCGCTAGATTCAATAATTGTATAGATTAAATTCGCGTTGCAACTTTGACACTTACTGCTAAATTTCGTATAAATTCAACTGTCGTCCCATTGTGCTTTAAGGTACAGCTGTATACTATGAGATTGTTAAGTCGCAGCGAGGCAAGAAGCTGCTGCTAATTGACGGTTTCACCTTCTCGAAAGCGAACCAGAACCACTGGGTGTGCTCGAGAAAGGTCGTCGGCTGCAAGGCCCGCCTCAAGTTGGACGACGATGGATACATTGTCAGCCTGTACAACGATCATTGTCACCCGCCTAGGAAATTCGCGAGAACGGAAACAGGAGAAGTGGTCCGTATGCCCCGCAAAAAGTGTGTTTTCTACGGGTTGGAGAACAAGAAGCTCTATAGCTTTTAACCTCATTTGTTATCGGTGGTCAATTCTTCAATTGGGATGGCAGCACAGAGATGTTAGATGTCCAATTTCAAACCAAATCCCCATGGTGGCCACGTAGCGTCGAGAAAGGTGAAACGACCTCTGCAGAACGCACCGATGCCTGTATACACACCAGCTTGACACATCCTACTAGTGAGAATCGGGCACCATCCGCTGTGCTGTGGCAACAGAACCAATCCGATCTGCTGTCTTTCCGTGCAGAATCTCCGTTTATTTATTTATTTATTTATTTATTGTTTAGGTACACCAACAGCATAAAATATAATATTATTTATATGTTATGCCCTCTCTTTTCTTATTTTATACTCTACGATATGGGATACCTTAAGTAAGGTATACCGTGACCGTTTTCATTGAACTCGGGACGTTTAAAAATTATGAAGTGAAAGTTCGTCGTTTCACGCTATTCGATTTTGAAGGCAATATTTTAGATCATGACGACGCGACGTCCTCACCAGATATTGCATTCATATAATAAAGACTAGACCACCCTAAGAGCAAAAAGTTGAATTCAACTTTCTATTGTTTATTCCTAGTTTCATTTTTAACGCCTCCGTTCAAGTTGTATCATCCGGTCTTTAGTTGGCTATAAGTCTTCAAAAAAGATATAAGAAGTTATAGTAGAAACATTTCATTCCAACTAAATATTTAAGATATTGAAATTAAAAAGTTGTATAAAATATTTTTTTAAAACGATCACATTAAATCGAAGTTGTAGTGTTCGTGCTGACTTTTTATTGTTATTTTTATACCAAACCAAAAAATTAGTGCGTTGGTGCACGCCCTCTTATTAATAAGTACCTGGAGGACCTTCTCGGCGAAATTTACCGTCCTATTTGAATGATATTTTTCATTCCCTGAAAACAGGGATAAAGGATATTTTCTAAAAAGGAAACCTAGCTAGATCGATTTTTCGCCCCCGAATCTACGCCCATACTAAAATGTAACCACAAATGAAACAATGAAAACTACAAAAACTAACTTAGCGCTAAAATGAAATAAACATGAGCGTCATTGAAGTGTAGATAAAGAATAGCGAAATAGTTACGTTGATAAATTAAGCATTTCTTTAAAGTTTCACTAATTTTGAGTAATTACTACAGTGTAATGACTCATGTATGCCTAATAAAAAACAATAAGCCTCATTGAAATGGATTATAAAGACTATAGAAATTATTTCGATGATTAATATTATAGATGACGTTAGAGATTTACTAACTGGATGTTAACAGGTCTACAGTATGAAAAGGTGGTGTCGCAAATGGGCAAGTGTTTGATATTGATCGGCGGCTACACGTTCTCCAAGCCCAGCCACGGCCACACGTGGCCGTGTTCCACGAAGCGCACATGCAAGGCCAAGCTGAAACTCGACGACGAGGGGACGGTCGTCGAGCTCAACAACCACCACATCCACCCGCCCAGGAAGTTCTTCAGGACCTCGAGCGGGAAGTTGGTGCGGGTTTGAGTGTCGGTACCAAGCTTGGCGCCATTTTGTCGTCCGTTCACGGTCAACTTCATAAAATTCACTCCGTTTGAACGAGACTGCGAACTAAACGTTGCTTGCCGGCTTGCGTTCATGAGCTACTAAATCTCTTATTCTGTATAACGACAATGAAATGCTTTGCAAAACAAAAATCATAATATGACTGTTCTCGTTCCAAGTACAGACCATTTGTAATTTTAATCATTCAGTTTCTAAATCTTTTGTAATGTTTCTTTCTAAATAAAACTATTATCAAAATATGTTACATTTTTTATTATGACTGATTATTATCATGCCCGCTATTTCCAATTCGGCTATTTTGCTTGTTTTTGAGTGTGAAGTTTCAATGTCTGAGCATTCGTTTTTCTTAAACCACCTCTACAATTAGCAAAAAAAACATCAAAATTGAATATGTAACATATTAAATTTATCAACTGTAACTCATTTCAGACGTGTACAATTACGAAATTATAAAATCGCAGAGAGGCAAAGATCTAATCCTGTTAGATGGTTATACATACTCGAATTCGAAATGCAATACTTGGATTTGCTCAACGCACTACCCTCAGTGCAGAGCCAGTTTAAAAAGAGATAGAAGTGGAAGGGTGTACGGCGCAAGTAATGACCACAAGCATCCGCCTAGGCAATATTTCAAAACTAGCGAGGGGAAATACGTACGAGTTTAGATCTTTCTAGAATATTACCGCTTTACGTTTGTATAGATTATAGTTGGTACGAATTCAATTTATGTAATAGGTATATCTTAACTTATAATTAAATTTTGAGCTTATAATTGTTTTCACTTAACCCTTAAATACAATATTTCCTTTATCAATCGGTGCCCAGAAAGAAACCAGAAAATGTCTCATTATTGCTGCAGATTCTTAAACGGTTATTAAATTGAATAGTATTATTCCCGAAAGCATATTACTCTTTACGATTACACTCTTAGTTATACGTCGTTTTCAACGTTTTAATTCAACAAATTTATGTTTTAATCCAAAATGTACATTACAATCACCAGTTACGTGCAGGTCAGGTAGCGTAATAGCTTCGAGCTATTAACTTTCTTAAGGTCGACGACTTACTGCTTCCTCCCTGAGATTCAGCGGATGGAGTTCTCATTTCTTCGAAAGAACGCCAATGGAACACGGGTTGTTCCATCAAAAAATCAGGCAAAGCTCTCCATAGTTTTCTGGTGTTCCTTAACGACATAGATTTTGTCCCTTATTTAAAAATATTTAAGAAATACAAGAGCGACCGTTGCCGCGTGGTGGATTATGCCCTGATACCCTCTGTACAGAGGAGGCTTTTGCCCAGCAGTGGGACATGTATAGTAGGCTGATACATTACTTTACTTTTTTACAAGAGCGACATGTGCGTTTTGGTTAGAAAACGACTACGTGTATGCACCAACTGAAATGGGGTTGGGTGGATTGACAAGTTCGCGGCCTGGTCGAGATATGACTTTTAATAAAGTAATTTATTTCTATTTTGCGATATTATCTCTATATTTTTCTAACTTTTCTTCTTACTCTGTATAGCTTCTATGAAGTTTTTATAAAATGACTTCAAGGACTTCAAAACGTGATTCACGAAATCAGAAGAGTAAGTTCGATGTGACAGTAATCGAAATGTCAATAATGAATATACTTTATGGATTCAAAGACTTGTGGGCGTGAGCATAATCTCGATGGAACAACACTGTTTCTGAGAAATATCGAGCGTCTTTGATTTCTCCAGTGAACTTAATTTGCGAATTATTGTTTCGCCTTTGGCAAGGAAGTCCACCATGATGACTCCGACAGTGTCCAAAAAAAAATCAGTCAACAAAAGCCTTCGCTTACTTTTGTTTCTGGGGCCTAACAATGAGCTCAGATTACAACCACGGTTACAAAAAAAAATTCTGCCTAAAATATCTCCAAGCAGTCGCGAGAAACTGTGAGCCGAATTCGTTTTTGCTCAATATAAACTGTGAGGGTTTGGTTTGTTGAGCTACAGTCTAAGGAACCTTGGGTTATTATATCGCTATGTTGCTTCACTTGAGATCTGCTCATAGAGAAAGTTCGAGTTTTGAGATACTAAAGTATTTCTTGGATACACTTGTAATGCATGTATAAACTCCCTTATGTATTGATAATCTCCCGTGTGAATTAAGTAAGTAGAAATCTTCAGGGCATATGGTATTTTAGGAGATTTTTTCGACCTTGAGCCTTTACCACCTTATTACGTGACAATGACGTAGACATTAAGACATTAGTTGCTTATAAAGTGAATTATATTTTAGGCTTATTAAAAGAGAAAGCTAAATTGTTCGATATTTTATATAAACTTATGTGGTATTGCTTATATAAATATTCTGAATGATCTTAGGCTGAAACAATGTAGTGTTTAAACTAATATTTAGTAATAACATTATAATTTTATATCCATATTAAATAAGTTGCAAATATCAGCATATTCAATTCTTTGCAAAAAGTGCAACAAGGCATCCATTTCATTAGACATGGAACGACCAGCTCCATGTTATGGTGGATCAATGGCGGACGCCGTTAAGCTCATTACTTTGCTACAAATGTTACCGTTTCTTAGCTATGGTACTGCCACAAAACAGTTTCTGCTGATCAACCACAGAACTACCACTGCTATATAATATAACTTTTTAAACAAATATACATATGTTTGCTTTTTGACTAGTGAGTAATGCTAAATTTCAGATGTGATCTACAACCACTTTGTAAATCCGCGGACATTGTTTTCTTACTTTTTTTTAAATTAAAGTTAATAATTAAGATATGTGGTATCAGTTGATCCGTATTTAATAATTAATTTAGATATCCGGTATCATTTGAACCGGATTGCTCATTAGCAATCATCGCCCAATGTAAAAATGTATCGCTCATATAAATTCAACCGCATATTCGATTAAACTTTCCACACTTCTACACCTTCTACACCTCATACCATAAGTGGGTGACGAAATATTTCAGGCAACACCGACTACGAGATCATAAAGTCGCAGAGGGGTAAGGATCTCTTGCTGGTCGGCGGTTACACGTTCAACCAGAGGAGTTTGAACAGCTGGCAATGTTCGACACACCACATGTGCAGGGCCAAGTTGAACCTTTGCCGCGGCAGGATCACCTTCATTTACAACGAGCACGACCACCCGCCTAGAAAGCTCTGGCAGTCGAAAAGCGGCATGTATTACCGCGTTTAAGTACGTTGTATTATAACATGTTATTAGAACGGCGAACTTATCAATAGAACATACACAGTTAAGGTAGGTTTCCGATGAGAAATAAACTTGTCCAAAGCATGTTATGCCATGAGCAGTGTGTTCAATACTAGCAACAAACAGTATTCAAGATATGCTTGTTGATTGCTTTAGTTTCTGTTATTCAATTGATTTGTGAAAATTGCACAAGTTGGGTGTAAATTTCGCGTGGTTGTATGGTGCAACTAATACACGGAGTGTTATCACTAATTCGGCCTTGATATGAAAGAAGATATTCTTTTGCTCCCACCATAACTGCTTACTAGAGACGCGTATTCCTAAACACAGTTATTCTATTAGGTATACATAATTATAATGATTGGGTAGTCGGATCATCGCCTGTGATGTTGATGCTTCTCATCCAGTAGCTTGTCTTAGAGAGTTATCAATTTTTGCACATCATCACTACCTTTATTTAGTCTGTTTGACGCTAGGTCTACTGGTTAGGTTCACGACTTTATAAACATAGTATAAATTGGGTACCACCGATTCAAGAGGTATCGTCAGCAATACATAGTAATAATCTTTATAAGTAAAGCAAAGTGTATTTCAGAGACGGAATAGACAATTTCTTTGAACGAATACTCGCCGAAATTGTGGTGAATTGAAATCGGGGTTAGACTGAAGTATGTAATAAATTATCTTCTCGCTTGTCTAATCTATCATTTGCGAATCTCAAATTCTCCCGTAATGTTGGTTCAAGTTCACGTTCCTACGAGATTCAAGTGTTCACTACATTCGAACGTTTGTTGCAGGCTCCACTGACTATGAGATCATCACCTCGCAGAGAGGGAAGGACCTCCTAGTAGTCGATGGGTACACGTTCAACCAGCGAAGCGTGAACAGCTGGAAGTGCTCCACCAACCAGTGGTGCCGGGCCAAGCTCACCCTGACCGACGGAAAGATCGTTTTCATAATGAACGTCCACAATCACCCGCCGAAAAAGCATTTGCAAACGAAAAAATGGTGCTTCAACGCGAAACCTAGTACTTAATGGCAAACGGTGGCAAAGCGGCCTTTTTACCTGCTGCACAGATACTATATAACAATGACACAAGACAGACTCAGCGACTATAGCAAATGGAGGGCTGTTTTATTTTTCAGTATTATCTGGGCGTACGGAAAATATTTTCTCCGTAAAATGTACATTGTCTCGTTGTTAGAATCAATTTTAGTTTTGTGAATTGAATTTTATTTAAATTCACATCTTATTCGTTCGGAAAAGAATGTGTATTTTTTCAATCAATACCTATTTTTGTTATCAGCATAAAATTGCAAATCAATTCCCTATAATTTAATTTTAATTGACGATACGCTTGTTTCTTTCTTTTTTATATATTGATTTGCGCTTTCATGTATTTTACTCATTATTATTATAATTTTCAGCCATTATTTGCGTTAAAAATTTATTTTTAAGTTGAAACTGTGTTAGTTTAATAAATTCCGTTTTTTAAAATGTTTTTTTTTTTTAAATATTTGAACGCAACGGACTTTGCAAACCTGTCTTCCACTTCTCGTTTAACACATCCGAGCGTCTTAAAACATAATGTTATAAAAATATATGTATTAAACGTACATTTCAAATGCATGTAAGTTTTACAGCTATATTTTTGCTGTTAAATTATGTGTGTACTTACGTACACACGTTACAATTTATACTTCCTTATCACGGTAAAGAAAAATAACTAAAAATTTTATCCCCTGTGCCAGTAGTTATTGTTGACAATAAATACAATTAATAACTGTTTAATTGAATAGCTGAGATAATAGGTTCATGTCAAAAAGTTGCCATGATAATACCGTGAAGTTGGTCGCTTTGCAATCTATTTAATTATGACGCTTTTTACACTGATAGTTTTTTCAAACGCTTCAAAAAACTATATATTTCATACAACTCCAAAAGAAGTATAACTTCCAAAATATTTATTTAAATTCTTTTTCGCCACTGACAAACTAAATGAAATATTAAATAACGTAATAATAATAAACGTAACGTATTTACGTGTTAAATTTCTACGTAAAAAATCAATTCTCTTTCTTTAAGTCCAACTCTGTTTCTTACCTTTTAATTGTAATTTTAAATATTTCACTCACTGCGACAAGGTTTACGATACGAACTTGACTAATTTTAATAAACAATGTTAGAAACATTGTTTATTAAAATAAAATAAATGCATCAAAACCAATTATAAAATAAAAAAACAATACATAAAAAGATTTTTAAGAACACGAAAAACGATTATAACTTCGAATTACACAATTTATATATGTTAGCATTTAAAAAGAAGAGTAAAAGTTAATGTTAAAACAACGGTTTGTAGTTAAGCCAAAACAATTAAAAAGTTATAAAGTAACGAAAGATTGGTTGCAAATATGAAAATTCAAAAGCTATTTAGAACAGTAGGAAATCAAATTCGTGTCTACGTGGTTAAACTTCAATATGCTTTCTAAAAATATTTTCGAAAAACAATAGAGTAAAACGCAGTTATACTATAAGAAGTCTTGAGAATTTATCATTTAAATGTATTTTTTTTCAATAGATATTCTTTATCCTTTGACTGGAGACCACTTGACCCGTGTCGCCCTCGTCCCATCAGTTTTCCTCTGAACGAAAACATTTATAAATACTAATATTCTAGTAAAAATATTAATTAATCAGCGTACGATGCCGGAAAACCAATAGGTTTGAAAACATACCATCCATAATTTACTGTATCTTATTGTTCTAAAGCGTACACACACTTGAAAGAAACTTTTTTATCGAAATAATTCAAATGGAACAGGTTATTAGACTTTGTAATAGGTGTAGTCACTATTTACATGATATGTGTATTGTACGAAGAAAACGAATGCATCATGATGTTTTACCTGTAGATATACAATAATTGTTTTTGTTCTTTAATGAAATTAGTTCACTTAAGATTTGCTGTTTAGTTTAAATAAAAATTAATTTTAATCAAACGGTTTTTGAATAAAATACTGCTTTATTAAAAAACTTATTGATTGTTACAAATCTTTTTTGAATAAAATGCTGCTTTATTAAAAAACTTATTAATTGTTACAAATCTACATACATTAAAACTCACGAGTCGTTTATAAAATGTCTTAATACTATATTATCCTCTTTTGCCATGTCTATGAAACGTTTTAACATTAATGTTTTCCTCGTAAAGTTTATTAGAAAGAAAGAAAGAGATTTTAAATGAAACTAGTTTTACTAACGAAACTATTTTTCTATGACAATCAGACGTCTATCGCCTCAGAATGTCCCGTGACCATGAACGCTGTAAAGGGATCGAAACGTCGGGAATTAAAATTAAAAATAAACGCGATAAATCCGTAAAACTAGTTTCATTTATAATGTGTAATCGCGTAAATACAAGAAATTATTAAGAAAGAGATTTATTTGACACAAAACAGACTGACGTACACAACACACATTTAAAAAAATGAAATTAAAAAAACATGGACATTATTAACATAATATGTATATTTTCCCCCCAAAAAGGATACACACTCAGCAGAATATTGCATTAAAAACTGCAACGCCGATTTTCATTGATGACCCATTCAGTTAAAGGTTTCATAGGTTCATTGCCTTTTCGACATTTTATGTTGTACTAGTATGTAGTCCAGTATTTTATAGAGGTATATTACGAACAAGTGCCTTAGATACAATTATTAGGGGATATTTTTTTAAGAAAACTTTTTACCGTTTATGATCGACATAGCCCATCGACATTAGAAATGAAAAAAGAATTACTTTGTTGCTAGCTCACCGTGCGCACTGCGGAGTGCTCATCTTACCTCCAAACGATTTGTTTGGTATTAGTGAGTACGTACCCAACAATACTCTGTTAACAGAAGTCAAACCCCCCCTCCCCACGCCAGATACAAAGAAAAAAAAAGAGCTTTCGTAACTGCGACAGATTGCATGCGTCGGTCCCAACGACAAGCCGACGTAAAACATGTATAAGCATCGAAATCTGATACCTCGCCGCTTCCGCAACGTGCACGTATTACGAAGAGCACTCAATAATAGTGTACACATTGGAAATAATTTGCTCTCCTCTGTACTGCCGTACTACCGTATTGTTGTATTGGCAACACAATGTTTTGTATGTGCTATTGTGGTTAGTGTGTTCTTTCAGTTATACAGGTTTTCATGCACACTAGTAATTGTCGACATGGGTGGCCCTAAAACACTAATCGTCTCATTCTGATAGGTGCCAACAACAAACGTTCTGTAGACTGGAAATTGTTTTGGATAGACAAAATATTTACGGTTCAATTAAAAACCACCTTTTTTGAAGTTGCATAAAAATAGGCACTGCCAAAAGAAGCATTTAGGTCTTGCCATTACACAATTTAACAATAAATTTTTGCCGTTTTTTTAAATAAACATATACAACATTTAAACATAATTATCGTTTTATATCCAGAACTCACTGAAACAGTACAATAATATATTTTTATATTAAAATTTGTTTAACTCGCACGTATGTTGTTTCATTCTTATGTGAACAGATGTCCAAGCGAGCAGGCGGTTCACCAGATGATAATTGAATACCGCCGCGCATGGACATCTACAACATCCGATGACTTGCTGATGCAATCTTTAAAAAAGTGGTCCCTGGTCACCTCACTGCCCAGACGAAACGTTTAAAATTTCCACTTCACGCCGGCCTTCTGTGAGGCCGTAATACTTTGAGGAGTGTTTTTACTTCTGTGTTTGATTCTATGTGTTATTCATATTAATTTTACTGCAATAAAATAATCTTATGTTTAAAATTTTATTAATTTATATTATGGTAAAACTGTCGCAAAATTTTTTGATGCTTTCAAAATTCGTATCTGCACTTTCCGGATTAAGCATCCAAACGCTTATGCCATTAAGATAAGCGGTCGATATCCTCACCACGACACCTTATCCACTTTTGGTTTTATTGCATATGTAGCAAGTGATAGAATTTCCTACACGAAGTTAAATTTTATCTTAACCGTCTTCAGAGGAACATATTGATAATAATGTTTTTTTCTTTAAATTCTAAATGTTTAGAATTGTTGAGATAAATATAACGGGAACATCGTGTTTTAGCGAGACTAACGAACAGCAATCCACTTTTATATATAAGAAGATAGCGTTACAAGTATCTGTCCCTTTTCAATGTTAGGATTAAAACATGACATAATTCTGAGGTCCGTTGAACTATCCTTTCGTTTGATAGAGTTTTATTATCAATATTGACCGGAGAACCTTTGCCCGCTCAGGTTTGTCGTACGACGTGGTGGTTTCGCAGCGAGGCAAGAGTATGATACTGATCAACGGCCACACCTACTCCAGGATGAACAACAGCTCGAACACCTGGGTCTGCTCCAAGAAGAACGCGAAATGTAAGGCCAAGCTGAGAGTGGACCACGAGGGGAGCATACTCGACATCTCGGAGTTCCACTGCCACCCGCCCCGGAGCTACGTGCGCACTAAATCCGGCCAAATAGTGACTTTGTAGATGAACATGCACTCCGTGGCGCAGTTGCCAAGGTATTGGCTTCGGCGTCGGGGATCGTGGGTTCGATTCCCACACGGGACAACTATTTGTGGGACCCACAGATAGTTGTTTCGCTTTTGGGTGTTTGTCCTCGTGCAATTTATGTTTGTAAAACGTCCTTACAACACAGAACAACGTTGCCCTAAAGTGAGGGCAATGTTATTTTAAGAAATAAAAAAAAACATTAACAAGTAACTCTACTTCTACCGATTTCTATGACAATGTGAAACACGATCAAGTGTATCATGTGTTTGGTGCGAATAATAAAAACGTTTTATAACAGAGTTGTGATTTTATTTATTATTTGATCTAATAATAAATGACATGATGCATAACATATAAATGAAAAGGAATGTATCAGTTACATGTCTAATTCTTATTCGTTAATCTGTCTGGTATCAAGCACACGGAAAAGGCTTTCCAGTTATAGCGTCAATACTTTACAGTAAACAACTAGCGCTACATAGATTGACACACGTGGTCGATTTGCAGACGACCTGAAGTTCATAAAGCTGTCCGAGAACAAGAGGCTGCTGATGGTGAACGGGTACACCTTCGCGAAGACCTCGCCCCGGCACTGGTACTGCTCGAAGAAGGCCAAGAGCTGCAAGGCGAGGGTGTTCCTCAACGCCGAAGAGAATGCAGTGGTGTTCCGCGACGACAACCACAACCACCCGCCGCCCGAGTACGGTCTGACGTGCGAGGGGTACTACGTTAAAATAACCGGCTGACCTTACTCAAACGCAGTACACATTTTAGTAGGGCACGATTCGTATAGGGCGCAACGCTTAGGCACGATTCACACAGAGCGGACGACGCAGGCACGGGTAAGGTGCGCTCGCACACACTGGGGCTATATAGACTGCCCTAAAAGTCGGGCAGTTGCGGGTACGGGCATCGGGGAATCGAACCCCAACCCGGGCTTTGTCTCAGGGGCCGTACCACGTCCCCCCGGTAGGCAGTCGACCGCTTTGAAGCGTACGCCTTAAGAACAACTGTTGTTGGTTTTTTTTACCTTTATAAAAAGTTATATAAAACTAGCGGGCCCGAAATACGTTGTCCTGTAAACACGTCTTAAATTCGAAATTTTTTTTTTTTTTTTTTTTTTTTTTTATGTGAAAAGTTGCCAAACGAGCAGACGGTCCACCTGATGTTAAGTGAATACCGCCGCCCATAGACATCTGCTACACCCGAGGGTTTATGCGTTGACAACCTTTTTGGAAATTGGGCTCCGGCTACCTCACTCACCAGACGAAACGCGACAGTATTTGTCATACTTCCACTTTACGCCGGTCTTCTGTGAGGTCGTGGTACTTACCCGGACGAGCTTGCCCATTCGTGCAACAGCCGAGGGTGCTGCGTGGCTCTACCACCCTTAAATTTCAAACTTTTTGAATAACTTTGTGAATCTAAACCAGTCTCGAGTCGACTTGAAGACACAAAAAAATTCATTAAAATCGATCATGCCGTTTAGGAGGATTTCAGTCACATACACTTATAAGAATTATATTTATTACATAAAGATATCTTTTTCTTGTCTACTACGTATCTTTCTCAAACGCTTACGACTGCCGCTGCTTACGAACGCGCCGCTAAGTGCCGACACGCCCTGCCTGGTGTGAATCGTACGTTAGGGGTACAAGTATGCCAATTTGTAAGCTGCTAAGTGCCTTACTAGCTTTTATAGGGCCTAGAAAATCCCTTTCGACTATTTGTTCTTGTATTTAATAAAATTGTGATATAATGCATAAAAGATATTGGAAGTAGTTTTGGTTTTGTGTTGCTATGCATTCACATGTATTATTATTTTTATCAATAAAGGAATTTTAAAGTATGTAGATTTTGGTATTAAGCCTTATACAGTATGTAATGTCTCTCGATATTAGAAGTTTTCAGAGTATAAGCAAATTCTATGGGGACGATCTTTGACAAATCTTTTGATCGCGTGGGTTGTGTGTTATGTTTTAACAAGATATACAAGACAAGATATATTATACAACTGATTTCATAGTAAAATTTTTGATACCTAAATCTGTTTTAATCAACTGTGGAAAGACCTTGTTGCACGAATCGAGTAAATCCTACAAAGCATCGCGAAATCTCAGAGTACTGGCGTGAAAATATTTTACTTTTATTTATAATCATAAATGTAATCACTCAACATGAGATGTGCCCACAGCTTGTTCGCAAAGAACCATAAATTTAATAGTATAATAAGTTTCGTTTGTATTTACAAAAGCCAGCCAAGTGCGTTCGATCCCCGGTGCCGGCACCAATGAAGTTTTTAACTTTAAGTGCTGACTTATCACGTGCTCCGCGGTGAAGGAAAACATCGTGAGGAAACCTGCATATTTTCGAAATAATAACAAAAAATCATATATATTTCGAAAATATGTGAAGTCCGCCAATCCGCAGTGGGGCCGCGTGGTGGACTATGCCCTGATACCCTCTGTACAGAGGAGGCCTTTGCCCAGCAGTGGGACATGTATAGGCTGTTACTTTACTTTTTTTTTTACATGACATGACGGAAATAAAACATAGGAGCGGTAATGAAGCAGAATTATTTAATTACACTATCATTAAATAGGGAAAACTAAATTAATACAGAATACTAAATTAAACAGTTTGGAGGCTTAGTGAGCTTTTAGTGACTAAATAATATCTCCATATCACTGAAGTCTGTCTTCTTCAGTTTGTCCCACGACCATGAAAGCTATAAAGGGTTTGAAACGTCGAGAATTAGAAACCAAAATAAAACACGATAAAGTCCGCAAAATAGTTTCATTTAACCATAATATCTCCATCGTTTAGTTTGTTCAAATTTTATAATTTCCTTAATTGGACATTACACTTCTTTTGCTCGCTGTAGCTTCTTTTTATAACTTTTAATTCTATATACTTGAGCAACATGAGTTCGATCCCTGGTGCCAATGAATTTGTTAATTTTAAGTGCTGACTTATCACGTGTTCAGCGGTGAAGGAAAACATCGTGAGGAAACCTGCATATTTTCGAAATAATAACAAAAAGAATTTTTTTTCGTATATATGTGAAGTCCGCCAATCCGCCCTGTATGGGCTGTTAGTTTCCTTTTATTTAATTTTTTTATAAAAATGTTTTGCAGCACCCTTGGTTTAAATCATTTTAAAGATAACGCGTCCATGATGCAATAATATATAAGTCGTTGAAGTTTAACGGAAAGAAGAACCTTTATTGACCCTCCACAGTCAAGTGTGGGTACTAAATGGGGACCATTTTCTTTGTAGACGAAGCTGAGTTTATACCGAGTAACCGCGGCAAGGGTCAGGTGCTGGTGTACAGGGGGTACACGTTCGCCAACATGAACAACAAGACCCGATGGTACTGCTCCAAGAAAGCCGCCGGCTGCAAAGTGAGGCTCCTGACCACGCCCGAGGGTCGCGTGATAGAGTCCCTATACGAGCACAGGCACGACCCGCCAAACTTGTTCCGTGCCGCCGATGGAAGGATTTATAGAGTTTAGACACTTCCACGCTAACTAACTTCAATTTATATTTTTGTTCTAACTTCAACCCTCATTGGGAACCCCCAAAGAGGGTTGAAGTCAGGCACGCAGCCGGTCGTGAAAAACCTAGCCAAAACAACTTACAACATTATTCACACGTTGCGTCGACCACTAGGTGGGATTAGGATAGCAGGATAATAATAATAAATATTTTAGGACATATTTTTACACAACGTTCTCTAGGCCCAAACTAAGCAACGCTTGTACTATGGGTACTAGATAACTGATAAACATATTTTCTTTTGTAAATAAATACACATTATACATTTATAAATAGCCAATATTTTTATGGGTCGGATTGCGTCCATTATTGATTTAGCTAAGACACCACTCAACGTGATTTTTTTTATTATCTTTATTTTCAATAACTGTATATCAATAAAAACTTTATTTTTATTGTGTTAGTATGCAGTGAAAATTAAAAACTACAAAAAATTGACTGATTAAGTTTAACGTAGATATGTCTAAGTATAGTCGCAAAAATAGTTGCTGTGCATTTTTTAAGTAAAACTTCTTTAGGCGCGGCGAAGGGGTGACTGAATCCTTTGGACGACTATACATTTGAAATAAAAAATATTAATAGTTTATTATTAATAAATACATTAACAATATTTTGATTATTATTAATTTGAATTAAATTACTTATAGATAGATTATTTTTAGTTTTACTTTAACAGGTTGTTAAGGTTACGCGCACTAATTGTTTTTCATTATGTGTCTATTTACAGATCTTGCGAAGATCGGAATTATTGTTTATAAGCCAGCGAACCAAACTTTTATAGTGTTTTATGCTTGATTAATAGAACAGACACGTTTTCTGTTAGATATCATGAGAGCTGTCTGAGAGAATATATACAAATATAATTAGTTTATGTATGTATATATATTTTGTAAATAAGATACTGTAGAAATGTGTAAATAAGATAATGTAGAAATGAGTACATGTGTATCAGAGCTTTTGTAACGATTTTCGTTTTTACAGACACGCATGAGGGGCCAGCTTTTCTTCGATACTATCGTCAGTATCGCAGTGCCAACCCTGAGAGGTTCAGGATTCCAGAGGCCGAAGAGCCGGCAGAGGTCCGGAACCCGCTGGAACGAGTTAGCGATATTTTAAACTGTATCGTACCGATAAGGAAACCGAATTAAAACTCTTTTTTTATTTACTATCTAATATAAAACACCAGGGCGTCGTACCACTGACCCTGACATAATGTTTATAACGTAGACTTCTCACTAGTTTTATATGAAGTGACTTTATATGAAGTCATATTAGTTTATAAGTTTATTATATTATTCAATATATTACTACTGGCTATAGGACAACAATTATTGCTAAATTAATATGCGAATGAAGGCTTCCGATAGATTTCCCTTTTGTATCATTTCACTAGAACATTTTCCATCGTCATAAAAATGAACTCTGTTGTAAATATATGTTCATAATTTAATTGCTAGCGAAAGTTGATTTATATTATTTTAACCTAAAAGGACATTCAATCCATGTCTCATTCAGGAATTTAGAGGGCTACACGCGGCCAGTAGATTTTTAGAGTGTAGTGGCTAGATTTAAATATTAGACTTAAAAATGATAACTTAAAACTTTGGTTGCATTTTAATGGCAAAAACTCAAGCGACATAGATTGAAGCATACGCTCATTTTGTTAACAAAAATGACATGAAACAAAATGAACAGATAGGCGTTGAGAAGTTAGTTAAGTGAACTTATTCTAAAAAAACATCATAATGTGCTTCAGTTAATGCCGATTAGACTTCCTATGACGACAGAAACGGTTTGTTGGCGGTTTAATATAAATCTTTCATGAATTAAACACGATAGTTCTACAAGTAGTTCATATAAAAGCAAACACTAAGTCAAGTTTGTTCGCTGACGAGGATCGCTCTGTTCACAGCTAATCCAATACTGTACACGCCCAATTTATGCGCATTCAAACTTTCAGTCTGCGGCTTCGATGTCATAGAATTGGAGTGCTCCGGTAAATCCCTCGTGATGTTCCAAAGCTACACGTTTTCGTACCAGGGCAGGAAAAATGTGAAACAGTACCTATACTGCTCGAAGAGGCTCTCGACGAAGTGTCCGGCACGGTTCAAGTTGGACAAAGAGGGCCGCGTAGTGTTCTCGATGACCGACCACAACCACCCCCCGCCGCAGTTCGTTAAGAGCAAACACGGGAAATACATAAAAGTATCCTAGCCACCGCCGCATTTTTCAACGATTTCGTTGTCATAATTTGAATTATAACGAAGTTAATTTTATACTTTTAGACAGATACTATAAAAATGAAAAAGGCGCAGTCTATTTAAGATTTCATATTGCTTAAATGTCTCACTAATGATGAATATGAGCGTGTTCGATCTAACACACTTTCTAATAACCTAACGTTAATTAAACTTAATAGATTCCGTGAAAGGAGTTTTATTTTTTTCACGATGACTTAAGAATCCAAATTTCAAGACGAACTTCGGTCGACGCCCACAGTTGAAAAGATTTCACTGACCGAACTTTAATAAATCTAATGTAACATGCTGACGAATCTTTATTGAGTCAAAAGGTCCTGATTTTCGTACTTCCGCCTTTATGAACATTTCCAATAATTATTATTTTTCTTTAAAAAATATTTCTAGTGCTGTTTTATTATTCGCCACCAGGTTGGTGCAACCGCTAACTTGTTGGCTTCTACGTAGTACGTAGTTTAGTAGTATACGATTCGATTTTTAATGGACAAACATCCAAATGTGGAATATCTATAGACATTCTCCACTGCATAATATGGATGTTTGGCCATTTGCAATTTATATACTTCAAAGATCCATACCGGACAGTAATCTTATCGTAGTTAGAAATATTTTTGATAATCACAATGAAATCGAGAATTGACAAGTTTGCTTCGTGTTCGTGAACTAACAATTGCGGTCGTTTTCAGAGGTGATACAATTCCTACCGACGACCGGCGGGCGAACTATAATCATGTACAAGAAATTCACGTTCCTGTACATGACCGGGAAGAGGAATCTTCAGTGCGCCAAGAAGGTGGCTACGAAATGCGAGGCGCGCGTCACACTGGACGCGCTGGGAAATATCGTCTCCGCATACACCGAGCATAACCACCCACCTCCGAAGTACCGACGCACACCTCAGGGGCTCTATATTAAAGTGAATTAACCAGCCCTCGGAAGCAGTACTAATGAGTGGATACCACTATAGTATTAAATGTTTATGTCTCCCTTCAGTTAACCACTAAATATTTTAATACACCAAAAATGTAATCTATATCATATTCACGTAGCTGTGCCGAACGTTAGTTACCAAATTTGTAGCCATAATGTAAGTCTGGCAACATTAATAATAATATGTTATTAATGTTGCCAGTAATAATATGTTATTGCCAGTATTCAAGTAGTAAAAAAATCATCAGATGTATTTTGAATTTTTCCCCATTTATGTAGTTGAGTAGAATTATATATGAAGGTCGAATAAGGCTATGTTAAATTGCTTTACATTTAAAGAAAACATACGCTCTTGTATATGGAAAACACAGGATTATTACAAACTAAATTTAAGCTACGTACGACGAGCGGATTTGCAGCTTGCTATGCGTATTTTGCTAATTCGCAATTTCCTCATTCCATTTGGCTGTATATTTCATAAGAACTTATCTATAAGAATAAGTATTTTTCGCATTTTAATCTTACATTCGTGTGGGTTTAACTTATTAAGAAGTATAATGATAGTGTTGAATTATTTGATAGTCTGTTCAGACTTCAGGCTATAACATAAGAAGAAATAGTTTTTAAGACAATACTTCTACTTCATCGCTATATTTAATTATTTAATTATTTATTTATTCAATTTCGCTTTCGTTTCCTTTAGTATGTCAGTATTATATTTAATTATTGTGGCCTAGGATGACGTTACCAAACGCTTGCTGTTTTTGTGTGACAATGTTTTTGATCTTTATTTATTGTGTGTGTAGTTAGTGTGCGCTATTTGTATTAGAAATTATTTCAAATAAAATAAATGTGTGACGGCTTATTCTTTTCAATATTCATACCCTGATTTTGATGTATGTTCACATATTATTAGTTGTTGTAATTGTGAATCCTGCTGGCTTTTGAAATCATTAAAAAATATGAAGGACAAATAATGAAAACTTTTTAAAGTTTTTTTATGTGAAAAGTTATCAACCGAGTAAGTGCTGCACTTGATGTTAAATGAATACTACCGCCCATGGATGGCGCAAAACCACTCATTCCTACGATATTTTAAGTGAGCTTTAGCAATCAAAATATTAAAATATCGATTGTAATCCTCTCATATTATACTTATAGTATAATTATAATAACTTATAGTATAATGCTTGATAAAAACTTTTTGCCACATTATTCGATGCCAGATGAAAAAAGAAACGCGTAAGTATAATACTTCAACTTTTAGTCTTTTGTGAGCCCGTGGTACTTCCCCGAACAAGGCTACAAATTCGTGTAAAAGCAAAAGCTGTTGCGTGACCCTACCACGATTTTTTTGTTGGCAAATTATACATTAAACGAAATCCGTAATCGCCTGGCGGCCTCAAGTCTGTCAAATTGACTGCTTCTGCGAACATAATCCTTTCCTTACTAATATTATAAACGCCAAAGTTTGTATATATGGATGGACGTTTGTTACTTTTTCACGCAAATACTACTGAATGGATTTTAATGAAACTTTATAGTAATATAGCTTTTACATCAGAATAAGACATAGGCTATATAATTTATACAAATTTTATGTATATCTGTCTTTCTGTCTGAATGTTAGGCCTTCAGCCTATTCTACGTAGACGTAGTCGCGGGCAGCAACTAGTGGTTTATAAAATGTAAAATACAACATCTTTCTATTTACTGCATCGATCCAAAAATGCATATCAAATGAATTCCACGTTACTGTTTGCATTGTTCAAGTTTTCCACACGGCGAATGGCAAACGATTTCAACATCAGTATAAATGTTTTCCAGAATTGACTGTAAGTTTGGGATGAGCTTATTTGTTTTTAACCATTGTCAGCATCACCGCTTATCATGCGATTTGTGATTGTAGATGAATGCACAAGTTTTGGTGCTGCGGGAACGAATCCTTTTTTTCCAGGAACGTCTGCGCTAAAAGCTGTTGTTGATTTATCTACAAAAATCACATTTTAAGTGTCAACTTGAGCGCATAAATTAGCAGTAAAAATACATACTAATCTTAAAAATCACCGTTTATCATTCGGCGAAATGGTGGTAAAGCATTGGCCAGTTTTAAAAAAAAAACTTAAAAACAAAATTTAATTACGTATATTAAGTAGCCAGTAAACACATCTCATGCAGTTTAAACGTTCAGTGTCTCCCCGTAGATCAGATCGAGTACAGGTAAAGGATTTTAAATTTCCTTACTAGTGCATTATTTTCAAACACCCTGTACGCAGAATCTTGCAGTCATATAGGTACCCGTATTAACAGGCTCAGCTATTATTCCAGACGAGATCCGTTTCCTGCCGACCACTGGCGGGAAGACGCTCATCGTGTACCAGGGCTACACGTTCTCGTATATGAACCGCAAGCGCAACCTGCGCTGCTCCCGCAAGCTGACAAATCACTGCAACGCGCGATTCACACTTGACGCTGAGGGGAACATAGTGTCTGGCTTCGCTGAGCACAACCACCCGCCGCCGACCTTGCACCGTACCGCCGACGGCCTGTACGTCAAAGTGTAGAACCACCAGCGCTAATCTATACAGATAAATATAGCTGGAGTATCTGTTTGTAATATTAAAATAACTGCTTTTGAATAAAAACTATATTTTTTTAAATTTTTGTCTGCCTGTCTGTCTATCTGTAAAACGGCTGGACCAATTTTCACGGGACTTTCACTGGCAGATGGTTATGTAATATTATGTATTATTTAAGGAGTAACTTAGGTTACTTTCATTTTAGAAATTCTATTTTTTCGCGCTTAGACGCGTGTGTACGTACGCATGTAAGAGGTATACTTCTTTAGCCTAAGCCTTTAAGTAACCTTCGTTTGTGGAAAAAGACGTTTAATGCGGATAACGGTTTGAACAATGATATTTTATACTATAGTTGTTTTATACTATGTTACAAAATACTGTTACAAAATCCAAAAGCAAACACACACGTAAATCACAAGCTAACACTAAAAATCACGTTTCGTTAGAATGGTATAAAAAGTGTAGCGTAATTAAAACAATAAGAAAAAAGAGGATAGCTAGTGTTGTCACTAGCGTATGAACGCTGAACACTGTTCGTCATGTAGTAATGTGTAATCGCGTAAATGGAAGAAATGATTATACAAACGTTTGATGTACTTCTATACATCAAATGTTTGATGTTTGTTTCTCAACTCGTTGCTATATGTACATATTTTAAAATAAGGTTATTAGTTAAGCTTTCATTAAAATACTGCATTTTGTAATGTGATAATAAAATAAAAATAAAATGCCTATTTATTCCTTGTGACTTAGCAATACATATGAGTTTTATTTTAATTGTAGTAGTTTGGAAACTAAATGTTAATAACAACTTAAAGTCATACTTAAAATATGAAAAAAAAACCGTCCAAGTGCGAGTTAAACTCGGGTACGAAGGGTTCCGTACCATTATATATAAAACTGGCAAAAAAATCATGTCTGTTGTATGGGAGCCCCTTACTTAAATATTTTTTGTTCTGTTTTTTAGTATTAGTTGTTAATACAGAAACAAATATACATCTATGTGAAATCTTTGAACAGACAGCAGAGTCTTAGTAATAGGGTTGTTTTACCCTTTGGGTACAGAACCATAAAAAAAGACATATTTTAACATAAATATGAAAGCAATAAGTACAAAATATACCTGAAAGCTTTTTTATCCTCCTTCCGGAATATATACAGAAAAGTCATAGACTTGAATAATAAAGATGCAATTAACTCTTAAAGTCATTTTTCAATAGGCTTTATCCCAACAACACACGAAACCTCATTTAATATAGTATCTATATATTAATTGAAGAAAAACCTTTATACGTCTTTAGGAAAATAAGGAGCAGTATGAAATTTCACTCACTTGTGCTAATATTTTTTAAATGTGCATAAAAATACAATAAATCAATAAAAAAAAACATTACACACACTACTATGTACAATGAATTATGGTTCAAATTCGACCACTGGGCAACCACAACTATTTATTAAATCATAAGACCTGGCTATCTTATCGTGGATCCCAATGGACGTGGCTCATAGAATTTATTTGCGATTTCCGCAATAAGTACTAATACGTATCAATTATTAAGCTTTTTTTTCCTCTGTGCTATTTTTTATTTATCTACTATTTATAATATTGAATCAATACAAACTACATATTAGATTACACTATTATTTTTAAGTTAATTTTAGGCTTAGTTTTCCGCAAATTTAAATAACCTTTCCAAATTAAAAAAAAAAAACTAGAAGTACCAATAATTTTTGAGTTTGGGACACAATAAACGGGATAGAGTTGAAATCTACACCTTACACCCAGTTCCCATTTATCTGATCCAGAATCGCCACCGCACGTAACCCGACGCAGTGCGCTCTTCGCTTCCCCGCAGCGATCTCAAACTCGCCTCGCGTTTGCTTACAGACGTCCTCCACTTCCTGCGAACGATCGACGGCAAACAGATCATCCTGTACCGCAACTACACGTTCTCCTACATGAACACCAGACGAAAGTTGCGCTGCTCGAGAATGTTCCGCGGGAAGTGCACGGCGCGCATCATACTCGATGCGGACGGAAGTATTTTACTGGCGAATGCGGTCCACAACCACCCGCCGCCCACGTACCACGTCACCGCCGAAGGCGTTTACATTAAAGTTCGCAACTGAACGCCCTCTTTATTTTATCACCTTTATCGTACCTCGCTCGCACCTTTCGATTTTAGCTGTTCGTAGGGGGATACGACGCAATTGCCTGGTGAAAGAAATGCCGTGATTGTGACTTGATAGAAACAGTTGACTTTTATGACGACTGGATTAACAGTTATCGACAGGTATAGTACTCTGCGACAAACATTGTACATGAACCTTCGGAAACGGTCTCTGTCACACACTACCGCTTTGACGTTTGTGACTTTTGTCAGTCGTTGCATAAGTGTGCGACAGAGATAACGCTCTACGAAGCCAAAGTTAGCCGATTGCCACCTTTCAAAGGTCGATGTTGCTGTATTTATCGGCGAGTACTGTATTATAGAGGATAAGCACCAGCCGATACTTGATAAAAAGAGCATGTAATATTTAAAATAAATGTTAACATGCAATTGTATCGTATCATTGAATGACAACATAAGTTGTAACGCAAACGTAAATCAGCATACAATTGCTATATACCTACATTTATGTAATGTATTGCGATATATAATTTTACTCCAAGTGCATTCTATTCTAAATAAAATAATCGTACATTATTTAGTCAAAAACATTAAAACAAATAGTTGACCGAATTGTGAATCTAAACCATTCTCGAATCGACCCGAAAACACACAAAAAATTTCATTAAAATCGGTTCAGCCGTAGGACGAGTTCAGTGACACACACGTACAGAAGAATTATAAATGTAAAAATATACATATAGTTGACATTGCATTGCAGGTACCATCCAGTACCTGCCTACTGTAGGTGGGAAGATAATTATCATGTACCGGAACTACACCTATTCCTATGTGAACAACAGGCGCAGCTTGCGTTGTTCAAAAACGTTCCGCGGCAAATGCGAGGCCAAGATCCAACTGGACCCAGATGGGAACATTCTATCGGCTAAAACCGCACACAACCACCCACCGCCCCATTTTTACAGAACCCCCGGTGGAATGTATATAAAAATTAACACGTAAAGATCTCCGTTTCACCCAAGAGTAACCGCCACGTAAATTGGAAATCCATTATCGTTGCCATAAATACAAATGGCAAGCAGGAATTTGTTTTTTAATTTGTATTTTATTATATTCATTTCGTGCAATCAATAGTGGGCATAATATACCATTGTTGTAGTATTAAATATGTTAGCTAGAGGGAAACTCAAATTTCATAACATATTGTATTGTTAACTTGTTTAAAATGATGATATTATAAAGTATGTCTAAATAAAAAATAATAAAAATTTGAGATAAATTCACGATGACCCGATGGCGCAGTCGCCACCATAAACCTTTGGCTCCGGCGCTAAAGGTCGCAAGTGCAATGCTCACATGGAACAAGTATTGGTGTGACGCGCAGATAATTCAAAATCTGGATGATTATTCCCAAGGAATGGTTTACGTTAAACAGGCAGTCATTCGTAAATAAACAAACAGAATACAAAAAAATATATTATAATAAATATCTATTGTTTTGAGGCTAACAATTTAAAATTCCCGCCAAATTGCCACGCTTCGACGCTATACGCGCACGCCGCGGCGCTGTAGTCACCAGTCAGTCAAAAAAGTAATTCAAATGCGTCCAGTGCAACCGCCAAGCGCTCCGTTAAATTATAATGATTAATAAATTATTAATATTCAAATCTTAAGTTAAACGTTAAATAAATTGAAAACAAATGTTTCCTCAACCCAACTCAAAAGTCGGTTTTGGCTTACAAGAGATGATTGACCACACGTCACTTAAATATTTAATTTGATCAAATTCTTATCTAAATGTAAATGTGATCAATCTAAATCGTTTTGTTCGATTTGTAATAAGCTTAGGCGGAGTATTATTTTTTTTTATGGAGAAAAGGGGCAAACGAGCAGGAGGCTCACCCGATGGTAAGTGATTACCGCCGCCCATTAACACCTGCAACACCCGAGTGCTTACAAATGCGTTGCCGAAAATGTTATTTCGAAACACTTTTTTATTATTGCCATACATAATCACATCAGAACGTTTAAAATATCAATAACAAGGTTAAAAAAGAAGAGGACCAAGATGCGACTGTTGAGTTCCATTTTATTCAACAGAGGCTTCTGCGTTTCGTCTGGTGAGGTAGCCAGGCCCACTTTACTAAAAGATGGTAAAGAATATGCAACCCTGCTAGGAATGTTGCAAATCTCAACGGTCGGCGGTTATGACTTAACATCAGATGAAATGCAAGCTCGCTTGCGACCTTCATAAAAAAAAAACAAAACAAATCCCTGTTTTTTTTATAGAATCAAAGCTTTCGAACATTTAACTTAATTTAGTCTTTTTTGCAGACGAGATTCTGCACCTGCCCACAGTCGGCGGCAAAAGCATTATCATGTATCGAAACTACACATTCTCCTACCGCAATAGGAAGCATCTTCTGCGTTGCTCCAAAGCGATGAGGGGCAAGTGCGAGGCAAAGATCAAATTGGACGACTCTGGAAACATCCTCATCGTTGATACAAATCACAACCATCCACCGCCGAAGTATTGCAAGACGGCCCAGGGATTGTATGTTAAGGTTTTTGCACCCTGAATATTTATGGATATGATAGTCGAGACGTCAAGGAATGTAAAGCGTTGCCTTTTTAACCCAATAGTTTTATAAATGTAACATTAAAATTATTAAAACAACATTTTTAATGTAGCTTATGGTTTGTCGACACAAACAATTTCATTAAAATTGCTATTTATACAAACAATAATTTCATTATAGAAAGAATATTTTTGTCATACTTTTAATGAATATCACAGTCTAAGGGCAACTAAAATTCAGTCAACTATAAGAAATTCCACTTTGTACAATATTATACGTAATTCTAAAAACTAAACGTATGACTTCATTGCATTCTTTCTACCGAGTATTTTTATCTGTCGTGAAAATTATAACACTATATGAATAGTTACAGAGTATATGTATAGTAAATTTGCAATAGATTGCAGTAGATTTTCTTCTTTAATAAATATTTTTCTTCGTGATAAAGTTAATCTTATTTAATAGATTTTGGTGAAATTGATATCAAATTAAAATATCTTCGTTCAGTGCCATTGGATAATGTTATTTCATCCCATCCTTCTCGCAAAAAAAGTTTTTATCCCTTGTTTGTGCAAATATTATTCCGGGCTTATTTATATTTGCACCCATATTGACAGTTGCACTATATTTTAAATTTACACCTATATTAACAAGCTTCACCTCTGTCTCACAGATCGTATCCAATACTTGCCATCGCATAAGGGCAAGCAGATAATACTGTACAAGGGATACTCCTACTCGTGCGTGAAAGGCAATCAGTACCTTAGGTGCTCCAGGAGACTTGCGAGACGCTGTAATGCCCGCATCACACTCGACACTGACGGCAACATTGTATACGCCTCCACTTTCACCCAGCACAACCATCCGCCACCGAGATACATGAGAACCTCCGAAGGTCTATACATCAAGATCTGATGAATGACACCAATGTGTTGAGAATAATATAATGTAGCAGTTATCATAATGTCGGAATAAAATACGTACCAATATCACACATTATCAGTATTATTATGCTTCTTTTAGCGTAAGACTAGGATTACAAAAGGCCGTTAAATAAATGGAGTTTCCATTTATTTAACGGCCTTTTGTATTTAATGACAGCTGTTATATGATTTCACCATTTGTAATTTTGTTTTTGATGATGTTAAATAGGACTCTATGTATAATATTGGTTACGGCTTATTTTTTTTTTTCTAGCAAAATTATTCCCAAATTAGTACTTCTATTAGTATCAAGATAGTTTGTAGGAATGCGTAATTATTGATATTTATTTAAGAATATAAATAAGAATATATCGCAATATGCCTTTTCAATTCTTTTTCGAATCCTATGAAATTTCGAGTCGGCTATAGGCACTATTCAAGAACAACACTTTGTCTTACGGCGGGTAGCAAAATATATCTATGTGGTTCTAATAAAAGGACGAGGAAGTGTAACTAGTAACATTGATAAGGATGAGGAAATCATCTTTTTCGATGACAACTACAACCATACGCCACTTTTGTGTTATATCTCCCTCGACTGTAAATAACCTAAACTGGATTGAATGAGAATGCATTCCTAATTACTAGTTTATATGAATAAAAAGTTTACTAATTTTAACTTAAACTTTAATAATTTATCTACTGTTCACGAATTATGTGCTCCCGCCTAATTTGAAATTGCCACCAATGTCGTGGCACTCAATGGAACGCCAGTGACGCGCTCACTAGCGAAATGTGTGGACTAATGGGAGAACTCATTCGGACGGTTAATATAAAATATAAATGTGTGAATTTATCGCTGTACGGTGTTAAATATGTGTATATTAAATATGTTAAATATGTAAACGGTGCATAAACTAACAGTAAGTGTTATCGGAAGCTGGAACTCTTCATATTGATGTCGGGACGAGCGCCGCTGTTGTTGCAATCCACGTGTCAGAAGAAACGACGATCAAGGTGCGTTATTTTGAATTGGGTGTTGGGTACCTAATTTGTGCACATGGCTAGGCTCGGAAGGTTCAATCTTTCAGTCCTATAGAATACAGTCCACTACAAAAACAGAATCGAACTTATCAAGTATTACTATGAATAAACCAGCAACCATTCCCGGGACCAAACTGAATCTGGGGAAATGGTGAAGTCCCGCCACCATTAGATTAATACAGGTAATTTTGTTCTAGTCAGATTTTAAAGTGAAGTATCAAATTAATATATCAAGACATGCATAATCACTCCACCGTTAGTGTCCTTGCGACGGGATGGTAACACCCGGAGAGGACCCTATTAAAGGTGAACATTGGCTTTCAGATTACCAGTACGAGACGCTGCAGATCGGTAAGGGACGGTCCGTGGTGATGGTTAACGAGTACACGTACGCCTACACCGGCCCGGGGAAGCGATACCTGAAGTGTTCACAGAAGCTCAAGACCGGCTGCAAGGCGCGCATGCAAATGGGCGACGACGGCGCGATCAGGTTCATCGACGCCGCCCACAACCACCCGCCGCCGAAGTACCACAAGACCTCCAGTGGCATCTACTTGGCCCTCCGTTGAACGTCAAACCCAACTTACCGGCTTCACGCTTCACGCTTCCCATTCGTTCCTTTTTCCCCCCCCAAACTATTTCTGTTGTCCCACCATTGGAATAAACTTCCTGAACGCAGCCCAGTCGCTCATTGTCTCCACGATGTCGATACTCTTTTTCTTCTCGACTCCTATCTAAATACAAATCCGGACTAGAAATAGGATTTTATTCCATCGCTCTGGGGACCACTGTCATGCTTCTAGGCGACCTCGATTTAGATGACAGATGGCTCGGTACCTTACCGAGCGTCGTACTTAAAGGTCATAGTCATGCAGTCTGTTTCATACAGTTTGGGGGCTAACAACTACGCCAGTAGAATTTTGAAGCCTTAACCCTTATCTCTCGATCATTGGCGTCTTGCGGTGGAAAGGATCTCGCCGAGCAGTTGTACTCCTTCCTCGTTCAGGATGCTATTCTGTGGGGTCTCCTGTACTGGTTTAATTGCGTCCAATTCTGTATTACGCTTCGGTTTAAACCAAAAGCCCAGCAGCTTTCCTACCGCTATTTACATTTCATTCCTTGTTAAAAGTCTCCGCTGCACTACGTATTGTCAGTATTTTTTAATATTTAAAAGCAAGGAATGTTGTTAAAGTAAAAAATAGTGGTGATTGTCATTGAACTCCTCAAAGTAAAAATCTAAAATGGTACGAAAGAATTCTCTTTTCTAATTTGAATCTGTCATTAATTAAATTTGTTATTTTTTTTAAATTGAATGACACTCTTTTTTCTAAAGTCGGCCACAATTCATTTTCAGATTAGAAAGTTTTGAAAAACATATTTATAGCAAATATCGCAATATTTTATCATGTTGCTTAGACTTTTTTGCTGTGTATTTATCGAATAAAAAAAGTTAAACAATAAGATACGTTTTTAAACTCATTTCTCTTTTCTCGTTTATTGTTCACGTTTCGGTTTTATTAATGTTTTGGTGATATTGAAATTATTGTATTGAATTTTTTTACAAAATAATACAAAGTAAGTGGCAGCTAGCATTTCAGTATATACAATGTGAATGTATAATATTGTAAATGATACATACCTTATTATAAACGCTAAGTAAGTATATAACGCGCTGTGAACTGTGAACTTTTCTTTACATGCGAATAAACAAATAGTGTTAGTGTTGCGAGTGCGACATCAAAACAAAGTGTAATATTGAGATAAAAAATATATATACAAATAAGAAACATTCTTTAATCACTGTTCTTTATTTATTTATTTATGCTTTATACACAAACATATATGTACGAATAAAAAGGCAGACTTAATGCCATAGAAATGTTACAATTTAAGGACCTAATATTGTATTTTTTAGCGGACGCTTTATTTTTGAGACATGTGTGGGAGGTCAATAGAAGCTTAACCCCAAGTTTGTGGGGTTGCCGCCCTTGTCCCCCGGCCGCCTTCTTGGAAATACGGGTGCAATAACCTTTTTCGCGTTATCTCGGAAACTATGCGTTCTACAAAAAATTCGTAAACATAATTTATAGCAAATCGCTTTGCCTACAAATATGTTCATATAACTTTTTGCCCTAAATTTAAAATTAAAAAAGTTATAGGCAGCCTTCTGCGGCCACATATTCTGCAGCTACAGAGAGGGGGGGGGGGGGGGTCGAAGAATAGTTGAACAGCTACCTAATAACTGATTGAAAATATTTTCTTGTATTTACGCGATTACACATTATAAATAAAACTAATTTTACGGAAATATCGCGTTTATTTCAAAAACTAACGTATTTGTAAGTTATAGTCGTAAGTTGTTGGGCACCAGGAACCTCGACTTGAATCCGATCGCGAGTCGAGGAATCGTAGTAGTGCCTAACGAGAAGAACAATCCTGCATTTAGTAATGAGATCATTAGAGTAACTTACCATTATTGGTTTTAGGCTATCCGACATACCAGTACATGGCTTCGTCCAAAGGAAAGAATAACTTAATCTTGGTGGAGGGGCACACGTTCTCGGTGCAAGGCGGGAATCCATCGACATACTACTGCTCTAGGAAGACGAAGACGGGATGCAAGGCTAGGGTTGGACTCAGAGATGAAGTTATCGTTTCCTACGAACCCTTGCACAACCATCCGCCACCGAGGATTCATATGGCTTCCGATGGCTCGGTATACAGGATCTAAATAGTTATCGAAATTATTCTTTATTACTTACTATATTATTAAAGGCGACAGTTTGTATGTATGGATGGATGTTTGTTACTCTTTCACGCAAATACACTGAATGGATTTTAATGAAACTTTACAATAATATAGCTTATACATCAGAATAAGACAGAGGCTATTATTTATAAAAATATTTTATGCATATCTGTCTTTCTGTCTGAATGTTACGCCTTCAGCCTGTTCTACGCAGACGTAGTCGCGTGCAGCAACTAGTTATTTCATATATTTTAATTTTAATAATTTCATATGTTTTTGATAGCCGTTAGAGCATTATAAATATAAATTCAAGTGACGTACCATATGGTATTCGATTAGCCTATTTTTTTTTAAATTATATATACATTATGTCACTTATATTATGCTACGTACATGGAGTGAATGAAAAGTTCTGAGTCTATATATACTTACTTGTAATTATTACTCGTGCGACTTCTTTCTAGCTGAGTAGCATTTGATTTGTAATTAAGAACAGTTTCGTATAATCAAAGTCAATATAGACTAAGTTATTGAAATTTTAACATCGAATTCATCTCCCAATCTGACGATACCTGGAGCATCGTACATAGATACCATTCCTTGTAACAGCGAAAAACGTAGTTTAATGAAAATTAAAAAAAAATATCTACAATGTACGAGGATGGTGTTACATCTGTGCCGATGAAATGTTAGGGATGATTATTTCATCAAAGTCTCGTGTACCTAAAATACGATGCACTTAATGTTAATTTTGAACTATCTCCAACTTGTTGTTCAATTTATTATTAAGAATATTAAATGGTACAATTATATGGTATTATTATATGTACATTATTATATGGTACAATAATAAGCATTAATAAGCGACAATATTTAAATGTTAATTTTCGTACATGAAACCAATAAATGCATAATCCGATGTAAACCTCTTTTTTTTGGACTGGCTATGACAGCTGACTGTATCAGAAGTAAATCCCTACTTTATACATACATACAATAATACATACATACAATAAGTTTGTTTGTTAAACTTTCAGGCCGAAACTACTCACGGATTATCATAAAACTTTCTACACATATTCTTACAGGTATTAATAAGGACATAGGATTATTTTTATTAAAAAAAATGCGGGCGAAGCCGCAGGTAAAAGCTAGTATGAAATAAGCAGAATTTAGCTTATTCTATTGTATCTGTTTCAGGTATAACTTTGAAATACTACACTTTGATGTCCCGAAAACGTCCGATCCTGGTGGTCCAAGGGTACACTTTCGCACAGACCACCAGCGACACTCGCTACTGGAACTGCAGCAACAAGATGTCGCGAAACTGCAAAGCGAAACTGAAATTCGACAGTCAGCATAATCTCGTGGAGTACTTTCTAAAGCACAGTCATGTACCGCCGAAATATATTCACGATAAAAATGGCCGACACATCGCGTTATGATCGTTACCTTCATAAAGTTAGCGTTTAGATTAGTGGTCAAAGCGTCTGGGCGCCAATCGGGAAGACGTGAGACGTTTGATTCTCTCGGAATCTAGCAACGTTTTTTTTTGCCGTATTTTCTACAAATTTTAATATTTCTTCATCTTAAGTGCGGTAGTAAGCACTATAAAAATTTGAAAATTGCAAAAATGATTTTCGACATATTTTCTCTCGGCGTAAAAAGTTTGAGTAAGTTTGTAGCACATGGAAATTCAAACACTGAAATATGTTATTGCGCGATTTAATCTAATTATGGTAATGAGAATGCTATAGTTTGTAAGCGTAAAACAATTTTAAAATTAGTATTGTTCTAAGAGACGGATCACGTTTACGTCGTGAGTTCTATTTTTTATTATCTTTTTTATGCGTTTTTATATACAAAGGTACGCCAACCCCATCGTAACCTATACTGGTCGAACAATTTACGAAAACGAACCCTTAAAATTATAAATGTTTATAATTATAAACGGGAATTAGTGTTTGTTACCTTGAAGAAGGCTGCAAATTCGTTTTATTGTATCGTGAATTCTTTTATTTCGGTGTGCGGTGAAAACTATTTGAAACGAATAGTTATGACTCCCGTTGCGAATTGTAAAGTATTGAAACGAATAAATGTATATTCTATGTGTAAATCTCTTTTATCTCGAATTGGCATGAACCTAACACTGAGTTTATCAGAAGTAACTACTGTGAGGGCCACGCCAGAGCTTCGGCTGTTGCACGAATCGGCAGGTCCGTCCGGGTAAGTACCACGACATCACAGAAGACCGGCCTGAAGTGTTACACTTCTGCGTTTCGTCTGGTGAGTGAGATAGCCGGGGCCCATTTTTAACCGAATTCAAAAAAGAAGGAGGTTTCTCAATTCGACCGTATATATATATATATATATATATATATATATATTTTTTTATGTGTGTTCTCGGATAACTTCGTCGCATCAAAATCGGTTCATTTTGATGATTCTCTTTTTGTTGGAAAGGAGATATCCCAAGGGTGGCACCATAATAAGTAAAGCCGGATCTGATGATGAGATCCCAGAGAAATCGAGGGCAATCCTCAAATGTTATTGTGTATAGGTTTTAACACTGTTTTTTTGGTCTCCGGTTTAAGGTCGGTTTTTTTTTGTTTAAGATTATAAATCATTATATTAAAAGGCAACGCACTTGCAACCCTACGGCTGTTGCAAATGTCCACAGGCGGCGATTATCACGTAAGATCGTGCCATCCGCCAGCTCGCAAAAAAAACTAAAAAAGAAAAAACAATATGAGCAGAATGTTCAACCCATTGTATCCGTTTCAGGTATATTTTTGACATACTACACTTTGATGCCCCGAAACAGTCCTGTCCTGATGGTCCAAGGGTACACCTTCGCGCAGACCACCAGCGACAGTCGCTACTGGAACTGCAGCAAGAAGAAATCGCGGGAATGCAAAGCGAAACTGAAATTCGACAATTCGCATCATCTAGTCGATTACTACCTGAAACACAATCATGTTCCGCCGAAATACATTGTCGACAAAAGCGGCCAACGCATCCAGTTACACTCGTAACCTTCGACCAAAGATGATTAAAATTCGTAGAAAATAGGAAGACGTTTGTCGTTGCCGGGGGAATCGAACCCACGTCTTTCGCAATTTTCGCCCGGACTTTAACCACTAAGCTGAATGCGCATTAAAATTTAAAAAATTCACATAACATGGCATATCTTGTTCGAATAATTATAGTAAAACGATATTTGAAATTTTTTGTATGCTAAAGGATACAACAATAGACGCGCCAAACATTGATTGAAATACGTAAAAACAATGTAGATAAAACACGTTAAGATTTTGTTCGTATGGCAATGAGCCGTTTAACTTTGTGGTTAAAGCGTTAGGCCATGAATGCGGAAGACGTCGGTTCGATTCACGCAGAAACGAAGTACTTGTCGTCTTTTTTTCTACATATTATATTAAAAGAACTAGTGATCGCCCATTGGTCGAAATCCGACCATAAATAATTATACAGTAGTGTGTGTTATGTTTATTTTATTGATGTAATGTATTTTTATGCATAATTTAAAAATAATATTAGCATTCTGCACTCCTCTGTATAAAATACAGTGTGGGAAATTTCATACTCCTACGTCCGCGCTATTTTCCTAACATGGGGTACAAGTTTTGCTTCACATATTAATATATATATATAGATATGATTAATGTTGAGAATTCTAAAGATTTGAAAGGAAGATTTAGCTTAAGAATATGGTTAAACATTTTGCATAAAATTTACCCGGTGGTAAATTTTATGCGAAAAAGGTGATCAGCGTTGACTATTGATAATCGCAGAGGGAGTTGCTAAAGCGACGTGGACCGTATAGACTAGGAGGAAGAGGATCTCTGCTTAAAGGCATCTGATTTTTTTGTGAAAAGTTGACAAGTAGCAGGCCATTTGACCAGTGTTTAGTTATTGCTGCGGTCAATGAAATGCAGTTGATTTGCTAAATTTTATAAACCAAGATTTGAAAACCTCTTTGGACAAACAAAACAGCTAGCGATTAAACACGTACGCTGGCACACTACATTTATTGTTATTTAAGTGAATAACTACTTGAAATTATTATTTTTACAAATGCATATAACGATTTTTGTTTGTTTTTCTGTATTTTAATAATGTTAAAGCTTTTAACTTTTAAGTTTGCATTATTTCTTATTGCCTAAGCTTGTTTCTCTTTTATATTTTATATTTATATTATAGTTTATATTTTTAACATAGGTATATGCAATTTATATGTAGTTTGCAAGAAGAAGGTTCTTGCAAATAAACATAAACAATAAAAAAACAAAAAGTATATATTTAATGACATATTAAGTCGTTTTAGCATAGTAGATTTTAAAAATTTTTTTGTTTATGTATTTTTTTGCAAGAAATATAAGGAATTTTTTTGTTTTATTTTATTATTATATGTAGTTGCCGTTATTTCGTAAAAATAAAGCCTTTGATAATTGATGATAATCGAGTTTTACGTGGCAATTTTTGCAGCGTCTTTATAACGAACAAAGCAATTGAACGTATTGATCTATTTATATAAATAAGACTTATGTCTCATTGAAGATAATATATAGCTAAAGGAGAATTAAAAACTTTTTTATTATGTCATAAAGTGGCAAACGAGCTGGCGGTTCACCTGATGTTAAGTGATATCCGCCGCCCATGGACATTTGCAATACGACATTGCAGATGCGTTGCCACCTTTCCATAAAGTAGGCCCCGGCTACCTCACTCACCAGACGAATAGAAGAAGTGTAATACTTCTACCTCGCGCTGGTCATCTGCGAGGTCGTGGTACTAACCCGGACGGACCTGCCCATTCGTGCAACGGCGAAAACCGTTGCGCGGTCCTATTACAGTTAGACTCCTAGCTTACGAAACGGTGGAAAGAAAACGTGATTAGGCAAATGAAAGCGACTGTTCAATTGTATGCACGGGGCATCGTTGAACGTCGAATGTGGTACCGCGTTGTACCAAATGCTAAACATGTTATTACGCACTAAACTATGGTACGTTTCAGGCGACCTGCCGTATCAGACGCTCCCCACGGGCAAGGGTAAACGGCTCATTGTGCTGCAAGGCCACACGTTCTCGGTGCAGGGCCGGAATCCCGAAGCGTACTACTGCTCCGCTAAGTACAAGACCGGCTGCCGGGCGAGGGTCAGGCTGTGCTATGACGTCATCGTGCACTGCGAGCTGAACCACAACCACCCGCCTCCGATACTGCATAGGGCGGCGGACGGCACGATATTTCGTTTATGTCAAAAATAAGATTGCCAACGTATCGGATACGCTCTGATTGCCTTTAGCATTTTGTCTGAGCTGAATCTAAGGTCTTTAATCTATTTTTGTTATTTCCTATTATAATATGTTTGAAATTAAAGTGCAAACTAAAACACACAATGAGAACTTAGATAGGCGTCACAACGAATAACAATGAAATGTAATATAAATAAATAAATAAATGAAAGTAAAAAAGTTGATGTAATATATGAGCGCGAAAAAAAGATTATACGGTTGACCCTAAACACACAACTTGTTTAATTTATTCACCGTTTTACGGGAAAGCTTTTCTAGATGTGGGAAAAAGGAGGTACATAGTGTTAATAAGACGGTGGTGTGCGAGAAAAAGCAATATAAAACTTTTTGTTGCATGCACCTCTTCGATGAACTTTAATTTCATTTAGTGTCCAATATAGACTTACGTTTATGCACATTAGTTGGGGCTTCGTGCAACGACTACCAGTATAGAAAAGTCCCCTTTTGTGGTAGTAAGCTATTGATCTAGCACGGCGTTTAAATGAAAAGGACAGATTTAACGGTTCAGCCAACAACATCAACGGACTAACGAACAGATAAGAGCTTTCTATATCTTCAAATTTCCCGCAGGCCTGCATTTGGAGTTCATCACGCCGACCAACTGCAAGAAGCGGATGCTAATCGTCCAGAACCACACGTTCGCGCAGACGACGAACGACAGGAGATACTGGAACTGCAGCAAGAAGCTGTCGAACAAGTGCCCCGCCAAGCTCCGCTTCGATTCCAGCGGCAGGCTCGTGTACTACGTGCTGAAACACAACCACCAACCCCCCAGATTCTATAGGGACAAGCGCGGAAATTACGTCAAAATCTTTCCGACGGAAACGTTTGGGCACGCACCAAAATAGATGTGTCACGTGTTAGATAGTTATTGATGTAATAGAAGAAAACTATCGTTTTAATAGAAATAGTGATAATTCTAGATAACGTTTTCTTTCGCTTGAACTAATCTTAAATAAAAAAAATTATAAGTAAAGAACGTAAAGATGTCATTCAAAACATAAACGGTAGCGATTTATTAATAGACAATTCTACTCAATATGAATGAATCAATCAATGAAATATGCTTTATTGTACACAAGACAAAAATTACAAAAGTAACAAAAACTACATAAAGGTACAATTGGCGGCCTTATCGCTTAGAATTGAATAATAATATGTGTTGAAGTCTGCTTCTCACAAGTGTCTATATAATTATTATATCTAATCTTGTTAAGTGTATATTATACGCTTAAACACAGTTTACGTACATTTCAATAATATCAATTGACAGAAGATTATAAATAGCTGTCCGTTTTAATATTTAGATAACGGGTCGATACTGTTATTGGTATGCAAGTTTGATAACAAAGCATCTCGTAGTTATTATTTTCTCATCAGCGAAGACGCAAGATGAGATCCAGCCTAAGGGCTGGAGCAATTGCATATGTTATTTTTATTATGTGAGAAAGTGGCAAACGAGCTGGCGGTTCACCTGATGTTAAGTGAGAAACGGCTTGCCCATGGACATTTGCAACACGATGCGTTGCCACTTCTTAATGAAGTGGGCCCCGGCTACCTCACTCACCAGACGAAACTCAGAAGTGCAACACTTCTACTTGACGCCGGTCTTCTGTGAAGTCGTGGTGCTAACCCGCACGGACCTGCCCATTCGTGCAACGGCAAACTGTTGCGTGGCCCTACCACCGAAAAATGAAAGATGGAAGTGAAGATGACGAGGGAGTTTAACTGATGTTGAGCGATTACTGAAATCCAGCGTTGTCCATAACACTAGTGCGGTGTCGGAAGCGTTTACAACAACGATGACCGGCGGAGTTTTAGGGTTCGGTATCCAAAGGGTAAAACGGGACACTAATACTAAGAGTCCGCTCTCTGTCTGTTTGTCCGTCTGTATCTTTTGGACCGTGTTAGTTAGACAGTTGACATTTTCACAGATGATGTACATTACTGATGCCGCTATAACAATAAATACTAAAAACAGAATAAAATGAAAACAGAATATGGGGCTCGCATACAACACATAGGATTTTTTGCCGTTTTTATAGATAATGTTATTTTTTTGCCAGCACTTGATTACCATCCCACCTGATGGTAAGTGGCGATGCAGCCGTTGACGCTAAGCGCGCTAGCTCAGTAAAAACCTATTCACTCTAATTTTTTCAATCGCTTTACGTTGTTCTTCGTGCTGGACGAGCCTGTCCATTCGTGAAAATTGAGAAATTGCTGCGTGGCCCAACCACGGGTAGATTATAGTTGTGTTGTAGTCCAATTTTTAGGCAATGTTCGTCTTTAGATCTCTGATAAATTTAGTTAGTTGTTGTCAGTGCATTGATTATTAGCAAAATGTGAAATGTCCATGTTGCGTCTGGGTTTGTCATGACATTTCTCTAAATTTCGGTATCATAATATAATATGGCAACAAACGCTTCTTTAGAACTTATAGAATTATATCAATACAAAAACATTACAAGTCGTTTTCTTTTCTGTTTGCTTTTGATCTATATATCAACTTAATGTCAAAGTTTAAGAGCAAGAAATGTTTATTGCTGTTGATTCACTCGTAAAGTCCCACGAAGTGACATATGTATGTAACACGTACTGTACCTTCTACCATCAATAATTTCTTCTATACAAACACCTAAATCCGACGGTCATATTGATTGGCCGTAGCTATAATCGTTTTAACTGCATCTTTATATTGTTACCAAAATTTATATGAAATAAAATAAATAAAAGAATGTGTAGTAGTAATCAATGGTAAAATTGAAAATTAATGGTGAGTAATTGCCATTGTAAAATATGAAAGCAACTCGTGGGCAAAAGGTAGGGTGCCGCTTGTAAAAAAAACCTGGCCAAAACCACATACAGCATGATTCTCATGTCGTGCCAACCTCACCCAGCTGGGATAAGGGCAGGAGGATGATGATGATTATAGCAGCTTATGCAGTCCAATTTAAGGGATAGCATTTCATAGAGCGTTAATTTTCCTTTAAGATGTTACGTACGAGTGCGTCGACTCGGTCCGAGGTGGTAGGCTGTTAATGATACAACGCTACACCTTCTCGCGCGTGAACAGGACCTCGTGGCAGTGGCAGTGCTCGAGCAAGGTAAGCGATCGTTTGAGGTTTTAAGTTCCGCGGACGGCGTACTTACTGTTCTGTCTTCTGACTGTGTCTTTCTGATTTTGGTTTTCCACTTGGAATATTTCTGTTGGCTATCGCTCTCTTTTCCTTTATGTATGAAGATAGCAAGTAAGTTCACCTGATGGTAAGTGAGAACCGCCGCCCATGGACGCAACACCCGTAGGATTGCCTATGCGTTGCCATGTTGCCACCTTCTAATAGAGTGGGCCTCGGCTACCTCTCTCACCACACGATATGCAGTAGTGTAAGACTTGAATTCACGTCGGTCTTTTGTGAGGTCATGGTACTTCCTCGGGTGGACCTGCCCACCATGGCCACTGTTGCGTGGCCCTACCACAGTTACCTAAATAATTACTTCCCTTTTATCTAAAATAGTACCACTAACAAAAATCTCTATCGCCAGCTATACACTTAAAAACGACAAGGAAAGAGACTGTTATTTCTGTAAAGCATCTAGATCGTTAATTTGCTGTGCTTATTAGATGAATTAACCATAGTATGATCGATGAAATACTTACTGACTTATATAAAATAGAAAAAAAAAGAACTTAAATATAAATTGAAAAAATAAACAGATGACGTGATTAAATAGCAAATTATCGGGGTGTAAATTGTTATGTAAACGAAAATGGGTCAGCTTTAGATAATCTTGAACTGTTGTTTGCACAAGGCAGTGTTAAATAAAAAAAAATGTTTCGTAGTTTTGTCGGAATATAACATCATATACCAGTTAAAGTTTACATGTTTATACACATTAAACGAAAATGGATTTTGTTACACATGCTTTTGTGACCCGTGTCTTCTGTATCTGAAATCTTAATTGTAATCTTTGCTATAAACATATGAGTTTTATCCATTCCATTTAGCCATGCCACTCACATAAAGACATAACATATGTGTGTAATTCACTGTTTTCTTTTCAGATATCAAGCCAATGCAGAGCTATGGTCAGATTGAATTCAACAAACTTCAAAGTAATGTACTTCGATCTAGAGCATAACCATCCCCCGCCACAATATTTTAGGACCAAAGAAGGAAGGTTTATCAAGGTCAAGAATATAGTGTAATAAGACATAGTGTACCAGTCTTTGGCATGTAAATATACATGCAGCAATATAATGCATAATCAATACATTTTCATTCTACTGAAATAGCCGTTTCAATTAATGTGTTTGGAAAATAAATAAAGATTGCGTGATCAAAGGCTAATATGTCGTATGATTTTTTTGCTTTTAGCTAAAAACTTTGTGAAGCGAACTGATATAGGAAAGCGATGCGATGGTTGGGTACTTGACTGGTTTGTTTTATAATGACCCAAGGCAAATCGCATTTCGTCGACAAGAAAATCGTTTGCTTATGAATTTTTGAATATTTACAACGACTACATGATGCTGTTACCCAGATTAACTCTGATCTCGAGCATATTTTCAACTGGTCGAAAAAGTACGGTGTTACTGTAAATCCCACCAAATGCCAAGCCATAATTCTAGGGAGCGAACGCCAGTTATGCAAAATAGATTATAATTGCGTGATGCCCGTGATGTGCAATGATCAAGTCATTACCTTTTCACCAAAAGTCAAGAATCTTGGGTTAACTATTGATTCCTCGCTCAGCTGGCGAGCGCAAGTTAATGAAGTCAGCAGTAAAGTTTATTCCAACTTGAGACAATTATATAGATTTAAAAATTTTTTACCACCTTGTACTAAAAAACTTTTAGTTCAATCACTTATACTTCCACATCTCGATTACGCTGATGTGTGTTACTCAGATGCAAACATGGAGGTTCTTAGCAAATTGGATCGCCTCCTTAATCAATGTATTCGCTTCATTTATGGTGTTCGACAGTTTGACCATATTTCATCATATCGCTCGCAACTAAACTGGTTGAATATTTCCCAACGGAGGAATCTTCGGATCCTCTGTACGCTTTATATGATACTATCATTAACGATCCTTTTGCCCCAGCGTATCTGAAGTCTAAATTTCAGTACCTGGGTACCTCTCATTGCTGCAATCTTCGATCTGCTGGTAATCTTACGTTGCTTATTCCTTCTCACAGTACCGGTTTTCTCTCTAAATCCTTCGCTGTTACAGCTGCTCGACTCTGGAACGCCCTTCCTCGTGAAATTCGAAAATCACCGAATAAATTTATTTTTAAAGCTAAAGTTAAGGAATATACCAGTTAGTACAAAAAAGTGTGTAAATAAATAAATAATAAACGACATAAAAGCTGACCAGACGCATCATTCAAACGGTGTCTGCTCCTCTCTTTTTTATGTGAAACGTTGCCAAGCGAGCAGACGGTTCACCCGATGTTAAGTGAATACCGCCGCCCACGAACATCTGCTACACCTAGGGTTCCTGATGAGTTGACGAGCTTTTGAAAATTAGGCTTCGGCCACCTCACTCACCAGACGAAACGCGAAAGTATTATACTTCCACTTTAAACCGGTCTTCTGTGAGGTCGTAGTACTTACCCGGACGAACCTGCCCATTCGTTCCCCTCAATCTTTACGTAAGAATTTAAGTTTAATATAACACGGGTTCGAATGACAATATGTGTTACTCATAGGTGACCAATTCGACACCATCCGCTCTATCGAGGGCAAACAGTTGGTCGTCTGCCATGGCTTCGTCTACTCGCGGTGCTCACCATTTCTGTGGCGTTGCTCGTCAGCCTCGCCCAGGGTCAAGTGTCCGGCCCGCATCAAGCTCGAATACGGGACCATCAACAGGAGCATGTCGCGGTTCCGTCACGTCCACGCCCCGCCGAAGTTCGTGAGGGTCGGCGATGAATACATTATTGTATAGACTGGGGTCTAATCTTCGTCGAATTGGGAAACTTCGGGCGGAACCGTCGCCTATGTTTAAAACTTGTATGAAGGTATGACGTAGCACTTCCGATCAGGAAATGTCCAAGTCGTCTAAGCTATCGCGTAGCACCACTATAAGCGCACCGTAAATATTGTCCCAAAGTATAGAAATTCTGTATAAACCTCACCTTATTCGCGAATGGGCCTTACGCCTTTTCCCTGATACATTCGAGCTATTTGGTATTTTTTTTTGTTCCTATTACAAAGTGTTTTCATTACAAACCATCCTGATGGTGCGATAGTACAGCGTAATAGTGCAGCACTGGCATAGGTAGTAAAATTAGCATTAATAAATGTTTAAAGCATTATGAATTATTTTATAAAATGATTCTAGTCACATCTAGTTGTTAATGTTTTCATCGAGTTATACTTATCATATTCTAAAATAATGATAATTCTTCGTCTGCCTTGTTAGTGGTAAGCGCTGGCGCTTGTGCAGTTTTTATTCTAGTCATAGCACAAAATATTTCAATGTTCATGTAGTGTTAATAGATGTATTTATTTAAAATAATCAGTTACTTGTACGGGAAATGTGGAATAAAATGGGTTTAGCTTGTTAAGTTATGAAATGTAACGTTGTATGTTACTTTTTAATTATTTATATTTGTGTTTAGTGATGGGGTAATATAAATATTTGTTGATTGTCCATAGATAATGTATACAAATTATGAATTATTTTTATTGAAGTATATTAGTGCTCACTGTGTATATGCCCTGTATGTCGGTTAGTGTTTTCTTTAAAAGAAGACGCCCCTCACTTTTTTTATAAATATTCCTTTTGCCCGCGTCTTCAATGAAAATCAGTTCATTCATCATGATTAAATGTCAAATAAAACGTTCCATAAAATAATAAGAAATACAGATATATTAAAATCATTGTACAGCTTAAATAAAGGTTTATCGGTGGACTTCCCATGCCTTCGACCTCTTTTTTTTCTCTCAGTATCATTCATGATTTAGGCGATGTGGTCACACAGCGACACGCGAAAAAAATCATTCATGATGATGACATTAAAAATATACTAGGCCGTCATCACACCGGGATTTGAAGGAAAGCCGAAATAAATTCAAAGATAAGACCTTAGATACAACGCTGGCAGCATCCGTGGGAATCAGATGATGAGGAAGACAAAATATTACAATAGTTATTAAGTGTTTCAAGAACGTCTAAAGTAAGCTTCGTCAGCAAAAGCGTGGTGTTTTCTTTAACCTGCATAACTGTTTAGAACACTTTAACCTACCATGCCACTTGTTTGGTTGTCGATAATAATACACGACGTTAAATAATAATCACGTATATTTGAAGACGATAATGACAAAAAATTAAAGTTTATTTTATTCAACATCAACCTCGACATAGAAATTTGATGACGATAATTCCTCATGATTTTAGGAGTCGTCTCACAATGTTCCATTTCACTGAAAATTTATTTTAAGAGACGTCTAACAACAATTCCACTTGAAAGAGCCTGGAGCGATCAATTCGGTTCCAGTGTGTTATCATTTAAATGATCACTAATGCTATAATAGCATCTAACGTCCCATTTCGCAGATGACAGCTACGAGGTCATCCGCTTGAGGAAAGGCAAACAGCTGATCTTCCACCAAGGCTTCACTTACTTCAAGCGGACCAAGTTCTTCTGGCTGTGCTCGTCGAAAGGATGTCTGGCGCGGGTCCGCGTGGAGGACGGCGAGATCAACAGGAGCCTTTCCAACTTGATGCATGCCCACGAGAAACCAACGTTTTTAAAATTCAAAGGCGAATTCATCAGGGCGTGACATCGCGTGTTTATTTAAGACACGAATATACCTAAACTTTGGCGCCAATTTGGCGAATTTTGTTTTAATCTCTCTTGACTCGTTCGAAGGCACGTCTACCCGGTGTCGGTTATATCCATAAGGCACACGTTTCATCTTCCTACACATCACTCTATTATGACTATATTTATTCAATACTCGGCAAACGTTGTTTTTCCATATAAATTATTTCTAGAGGAATTGGAACGCATTCAAAAATCGTTTGCAGGTTGACAGGTACAGTTTGTATTGGAAAATAAAATTGTTGCTATTTCGATTTTCCACGCAATTTTCCCATAATTTCTCATCGTTTAAACCTTCCCTGGACTGCCACGAATATATAAAAACCAAAATTAGCCAAATCGGTCCAGCCGTTCTCGAGTTTTAGCGAAACTAACGAACAGCAATCCATTTTTATATATAAGAAGTATTACTTATTGATTATCAAAATACACTACTACCGGTTCGAAAAAGCCACTGACCTGAGAAGAACCGGCGAGAGAAACTCAGCGGCACAATTTTTTATAAACGTAATTTGACAAATATAACAAACATGTATACAATATATTCAATTCCACTTGAAAGAGGTTCCTCGGTTCCAGTGAGTTATCATTTAAATGATCACTAATGCTATAATAGCCTCTAACGTTCCATTTCGCAGACGACAGCTACGAGATCATCCGCTCCAGGAAAGGCAACCGGTTGATCCTCTACCAAGGCTTCACCTACTTCAAGCGGACCAAGTTCTTCTGGCAGTGCTCGTCGAGCTCCGTCCAGGTCAGATGTCCGGCGCGTATCCGCGTCGAGGGCGGCACAATCAACAGAAGCCTCTCAGACTTGACGCATGTCCACAAGCGGCCAAACTTTTTAAAACTCCACGGTGAATACATAAGGGCGTGATACAAATAAAGACATGTGCCGAATGTTTAGTGGCAACGATATTGGAGTGTTTTCTTTTTATTTCCCTCGTGCGAACCAGGTAGGCCTACCGGGTGCCAACCAGGTAGGTTTTAACACGTTAACTGTGGTACTAGCCCTAAAACACTTTTAGGGCTAGTACCACGGTAGCCTCCTTTGCAACTAAACTGTGCCGAAAGTGAAAAATATATAGGTATATCGATATTTATAAAAATGACAATATCGGCCTCGATATATCGAAGAAGAGAAGATTAGACCATCGCTTACATAAAATTCACCATTTTTACTTTCATACTCTCTGTATATAATACTCCTTAGCAAGTTCGTCAGTATATTTGAAAGAGCTAGCTTCTGCATTGAAGAGTTACTTCGTCACGTGTATTTAAAGCGGTAGCACTACCCGACATTCTAATTCTATTCTGATCCATTTGGAAGTGAGTTTTTTTTTAAAAACCCAAAATCGGATAACCATGTAGCAAACAGCATTTGTTGCGATTGTTGTGCGCATAAGAATAGAGTACCCGGAGGACCGAGCTTTGCTCGGTTTGTTTTTTTTTTTGTAAATCGTGTATTTTGGAAATTACATTTAGATACAAATTACTGATTAATGAAATACGCATAATATTTTTCGATCTTACCGACGTAATAATAAGAAAATATGAACTGATATTTTTCACAAAAGAAAGAACTTTAAAAAAAGGGAAAAAAATAACAAAATAACAAATCGACAAAAAAAATAAAAATAAAGAAAGCAATGATCTGGAATCGAAAAAAAAAGTAAAAAAAATAAATGTGTAAATGATCGTGACGCGAACCACGGCCGTCTGTTTTGGGGCCGCCCGATTACCGACCGAGCTATTATGACATTTTCTCTTGCGGCGAAATTTACCGTCATATTCGAATTATATTTTTCATTCCCTGAAAACAGGGATACAAGGACATTTTCTAAAAATGAAACCTATCTAGATCGATTTTTCGCCCCCTGAATCTACGCACATACTAAATTTCATGAAAATCGCTGGAGCCGTTTCCGAGATTCCGATTATATATATATATATATATATATATATATATATATATATATATATATATATATATATATATATATATATATATATATATATATATATATATATATATACAAAAATTGCTCGTTTAAAGGATAAGAGATATATGACATTCTCTGTGATGCGAATGGCGTTATTTCTATTCCATCTAACGTTTGAAACAGAAGAAGAATGTCTGAAATTGTCTATTCATCCAGAGTGGCTTTGGTATACTCACCTCAATACGGGGTTCTTGAGACCTATTTAATACCGATATATAAAATTCATGATAGTGCAGTACGGGGTTTCACCGACCCCGTACTGTGCTTTGTAGATTGCCGAGAGAGTACACTGCGTTACGTTTGTTGAAAGTGTCTAAACGAATCTGCGCCTAAATCAAATTATCGGCTGGTATTTTAAAAACAGGTTAGTCGTCAAATAAGAATACTATATAATATTTAGGTATGTACACTAATTTTGGTGGTGTGAAGTTATAAAAATTCGGTTAACTTAAACTCGTTAAATAATAAAAAACCTTTTTATGAGCTGAAGAATGCTATCATTTGAAAGGACACTATCATGTGAGTTTTTTACTCATTTAAAAAACAATTTGCTTTTTATTTTTTTGTGTTCCTTGTATATTTTTTATAGGTACTAAACTTTATCTATTCAGAACTGGGATTGTACAAAAACAAACATGTTTTCAAAAAAAGAAAAGGAAATGTACTAGATATTATGAAAAAGTCCGGACGTTTTTACGGAGTCACAAAGCAGACAAAAAAGTAAAAAAAATATAATTACTGAATGTGTTCAGTGCATAAGATTGTTTTGCTTAAATTGTTTTAATGAAAAACACACATGAAGCCTCTTTTTTATAATTTGACACACATGAAGCCTATTCGTGTAATATTTTGGAAATAACAGTCAAATAAACTTCATCCACGTTTTATTTTCCCAACACTAAATCATTTGCATAATTCCTTATGCAAAGTTTTTTTTATTTACCTAAGCTCGGAAGATTAAGCTAGTTGACAATGGTGATGTATAAAGGGTTATGTGAAACTTCAAAAAAACGGTTTTATTTTGTTATTGACGCCAGGGCCTTTCCGAAGGTGATATGAAGTATGTTCATGAATATCAAAGGCATTTGCCCCACCCTAGTTTCATTTATTTGGTCCCTAGTGAAAAAAAAAAAAATGTTTTAACAAATCTAAATTTCAATTATATTATTTTTATCACTATGTTAGTCGTTGCCCTCGTGTAAACAATTTTCTGTACATGACTTTTGAGTTATATATATGATTCCAGCGTTTGATTCCCGCTGTCTGTATGCAATGCATGTATAACGCTGCAGTAATGCAATGTCTTTTAAAACTAATGCATCTTTAAAACTATCCAACGGATCTTGGTGCGGTTTTTTTACTAGATAGAGCGATTCAAGAGGGAGGTCTCTATGTATAATACATTGCACCCGTGCGAAGCCGGGGCGGGTCGCTAGTGTTTAAATAAATGAATGAATTTTGAGAAGCCTTTCAAAGTTGCTTTATTTCCCATAACATGTCTTCTCCCTTTTGCTCATCCGTTTTTCGTGTTCAAATATCCAAAGACAGTTTCCCGAACTGATTAAATCTTCTTTCACAGATTACCAGATAGTTCGCTCCCGCAAAGGGAAAAAGCTGATATTCTACCAAGGGTACACTTATTGCAGAAGGTCAACGTTTTCATGGCAGTGCTCATCGTCACCGGACGGGACCCGGTGTCAGGCACGAATCCGCGTCGAAGACGGAAAAATCATCAGATACCTATCCAACGATTACCACGACCACGAGCCCCCGCAGTTCCTTATGTCGATGGGCCCTTGAAGGTTCTGTCGTTAGCTTGACGCTAGCCTCGATTCATGTCCGTCGACTAGTTAAATTCGTCGTCGTTTACGCCATACTTACGCATGAATGAACGGACTTGATTTGACGCTGCGACGTTCGGCGGTTCTAAGTCGTCTGACTGATTAGAATTATGCACTTTGGAAATTAAGAAATTAATAAATTTGCAAAAAAGGAGAACTTAAACACCAAGTAAAATTCTGAACATATTTAGGATGAGCCGCAAATTATTCTCCGACCATTCACAAATTGTCAAACAAAAATGTAAGAAAGCGAACCTGAAAATGTTGTTCGTAAAAGTAATCTAATAGTATCGTAATCCTTTTCTAATTATTTATAATAATTTACTGTAGTTTTTATTTCAATGATGGCGGCTGAACAAGCCATAAACTTGACGATAAGAGAACTGCCGCCGTTTGACACTTAACCATCACTGATGTGATGTCGTAGGCGTGTTGGCAACCTCTAAGAGTGAGGTAAATCTTGTTTCTAGAAAGGTGCAAAGGTAAAACTACTTTTCTTTCACTAGACGCCGTTATTCTGAGAGACCATGGTACCTCAAAATCAGCTTGATTAAAGGTCATCTTACATTTAATTTATCAGCATAATTAGTCTGCATTTAAATATAAGAGTAAACTTACTCTTACATTTAAGTGCAGACTAATTGAACTTTAGTTTAAGTGCAGAGTGTGAGATGGTGCTAAGGACGACACAACGAACAGTAATATTCTTGCTATTGTTATTTAATTGCTGGCGCCACGCCATTAATTTATTGTTTCCTAAACAAGCGCCACTTGAAGTTAATATCTGCTTAATTATTGTTAATAATCATTTAGTTTTTTTTACCTAAAATAAATAGTTTGCAGTGTAACATAATTCAATAATATAAGTTCAAATTGTTAAATTAGTTAAGATAGAACTATCTTACATAACTTTATGTAAAGGTAAAACAACGATAAATTGTGTAAATTATATATATATATATATATATATATATATATAGGTTTAGGAAAAAGATAATTATATACAATATAAAATAAATAGTTTGTTTTTAGTTAAAAACTAATAAATTTTTCAAAATACAATATGAATGAAGGAAACATTAATTTTACTATCAACAACCGTTCATACAAAAGTGTCATTAACAGTATTAATCCAAAAGTGAACACTGATCGATAACTTTTTTATAATATATTCAAACGTTACTTGCATTAACTTAAAAACGGCTTTAGTATCGCCGCCAGCGAGAGTAAAGGCCCATTTACACGGTGCCAGTTTCTTGCCTGTTGTATACAATTAAATTGAAGCAATAAATAAGTTGCATGGTCTAAACAACAAATGGTCTAACCAATTATTGCGCGCAATTTATTGCATTCAATTATTGCTCTTGCATGTACAAGAAAATGGCATCGTGTAAATGGGCCTTTACCCGTGCGATAAAGATCCACGTGAAAATTTATTTATTCACAACTCACAAATCAATACCCTCACATACCGAAAACGTAAATGAAACAATAGATGAAAAAAAAAAAAAAGGTTTATAGCTAGCTGTGCCATCTGGATTTTTGAAGTCATTTTCTACTGTTGGAGTTATGCTAAGTTGCCTAGACTGTGCCAGTGATTAGGTAAATGTTCAAGTAGACTCATTGTATGTGGTCTTCCCTATTTTAATTTATTGATCTCAGAGCCAACTCTAAATAACAATTATGATACAACAAACAATAGGCACTCTTTATGAACCCTTATTTTTAGGATTCCTTTCCCAAAGGGTAAAACGGGGCCCTATTACTAAGACTCCGCTGTCTGACTGTATCTCATGAACTGCGATAGTTAGGCAGTTGCAATTTTCACAAATGATGTATTTCTGTTGCCGCTATAACAAAAATACCGACTAACAGAATACACCCTTTGTGTGTGAGGCCGACTCGCACTTGTTTTTTTATTAATTTTCGCATAATATGTTAGATGTTAACACGTTAGATGAATTTCAAACAAATATTAATATTATTTTTAAAAATTTCAGGAATCAGTTATGAAGTCATTCGTTCCCGCA